CATTTATTTACGGAGATATCAAGTCATCTTTATTCTAATACTAGTCACTGTTTATCTGCTCTTTTTATTTAATTATAATTTTCATCGCCATCAGCAACCCCCTTTATTTACCTTTCTTCAAAAGCCCTTTTTTCTATTTGGTTGTTTTTCCATTTATTTATGGAGACATCAAGTCATCTTTATTCTAATACAAGTTACTGTTTATCTGCTCTTTTTATTTATTTATAATTTTCATTGCCATCAGCAACCCCTTTATTTACATTTCCTCAAAAGCCCTTTTTACTGTGGTTGTTCTTCCATTTATTTACGGAGATATCAAGTCATCTTTATTCTCATACTAGTCACTGTTTATCTGCTCTTTTTATTTAATTATAATTTTCATCGCCATCAGCAACCCCCTTTATTTACCTTTCTTCACAAGCCCTTTTTTGTATTTGGTTGTTTTTCCATTTATTTATGGAGACATCAAGTCATCTTTATTCTAATACTAGTTACTGTTTATTTGCTCTTTTTATTTATTTATAATTTTCATTGCCATCAGCAACCCCTTTATTTACCTTTCCTCAAAAGCCCTTTTTACTATTTGGTTGTTTTTCCATTTATTTATGGAGACATCAAGTCATTTTTATTCTAATACTAGTTACTGTTTATCTGCTCTTTTTATTTATTTATTTATAATTTTCATTGCCATCAGCAACCCCTTTATTTACCTTTCCTCAAAAGCCCTTTTTACTATTTGGTTGTTCTTCCATTTATTTACGGAGATATCAAGTCATCTTTATTCTAATACTAGTCACTGTTTATCTGCTCTTTTTATTTAATTATAATTTTCATCGCCATCAGCAACCCCCTTTATTTACCTTTCCTCAAAAGCCCTTTTTACTATTTGGTTGTTTTTCCATTTATTTACAAAGTCATCAAGTCATCTTTATTCTAATACTAGTTACTGTTTATTTGCTCTTTTTATTTATTTATAATTTTCATTGCCATCAGCAACCCCTTTATTTACCTTTCCTCAAAAGCCCTTTTTACTATTTGGTTGTTCTTCTATTTATTTACGAAGTCATCAAGTCATCTTTATTCTAATACTAGTCACTGTGTATATGCTCTTTTTATTTATTTATAATTTTCATTGCCATCAGCAACCCCTTTATTTACCTTTCCTCAAAAGCCCTTTTTACTATTTGGTTGTTTTTCCATTTATTTACGGAGATATCAAGTCATCTTTATTCTAATACTAGTCACTGTGTATATGCTCTTTTTATTTATTTATAATTTTAATAGCATGAGCAACCCCTTATTTACCTTTCCTCAAAAGCCCTTTTTACTATTTGGTTGTTTTTCCATTTATTTACGAAGACATCAAGTCATCTTTATTCTAATACTAGTCACTGTGTATATGTCCTTTTTATTTATTTATAATTTTCATTGCCATCAGCAACCCCCTCTATTTACCTTTCCTCAAAAGCCCTTTTTACTATTTGCTTGTTTTTCCATTTATTTACGAAGACATCAAGTCATCTTTATTCTAATACTAGTCAATGTGTATATGCTCTTTTTATTTATTTATAATTTTCATTGCCATCAGCAACCCCCTCTATTTACCTTTCCTCAAAAGCCCTTTTTACTATTTGCTTGTTTTTCCATTTATTCACGAAGTCATCAAGTCATCTTTATCCTAATACTATTCACTGTTTATCTGCTCTTTTTATTTATTTATAATTTTCATCGCCATCAGCAACCCCTTTATTTACCTTTCCTCAAGAGCCTTTTTACTATTTGGTTGTTTTTCCATTTATTTACGAAGTCATCAAGTCATCTTTATCCTAATACTAGTCACTGTTTATCTGCTCTTTTTATTTATTTATAATTTTCATCGCCATCAGCAACCCCTTTATTTACCTTTCCTCAAAAGCCCTTTTTACTATTTGGTTGTTTTTCCATTAATTTACGAAGACATCATTTCATCTCTTTTCTAATACTAGTAACTGTTTATCTGCTCTTTTTATTTATTTATAATTTTAATAGCATGAGCAACCCCTTATTTACCTTTCCTCAAAAGCCCTTTTTACTATTTGGTTGTTTTTCCATTTATTTACGAAGACATCAAGTCATCTTTGTCCTAATACTAGTCACTGTTTATCTGCTCTTTTTTATTTATTTATAATTTTCATCGCCATCAGCAACCCCTTTATTTACCTTTCCTCAAACGCTCTTTTCACTATTTGGTTGTTTTTCCATTTATTTACGAAGTCATCAAGTCATCTTTATCCTAATACTAGTCACTGTTTATCTGCTTTTTTTATTTATTTATAATTTTCATCGCCATTAGCAACCCCTTTATTTACCTTTCCTCAAAAGCCTGTTTTACTATTTGGTTATTTTTCCATTTATTTACGAAGTCATCAAGTCATCTTTATCCTAATACTAGTCACTGTTTATCTGCTCCTTTTATTTATTTATAATTTTCATGGCCATCAGCAACCCCTTTATTTACCTTTCCCCAAAAGCCCATTTTACTATTTGGTTGTTTTTCCATTTATTTACGAAGTCACCAAGTCATCTTTATCCTAATACTAGTCACTGTTTATCTGCTCTTTTTATTTATTTATAATTTTCATCGCCATCAGCAACCCCTTTATTTACCTTTCCTCAAAAGCCTGTTTTACTATTTGGTTATTTTTCCATTTATTTACGAAGTCATCAAGTCATCTTTATTCTAATACTAGTCACTGTTTATCTGCTCTTTTTTATTTATTTATTATTTTCATCGCCATCATCAACCCCTTTATTTACTTTCTTCAAAAGCTCTTTTTCCTTTTTGGTTGTTTTTCCATTTATTTACGATGTCATCAAGTCATCTTTATCCTAATACTAGTCACTGTTTATCTGCTCTTTTTATTTATTTATAATTTTCATCGCCATCATCAACCCCTTTATTTACCTTTCCTCAAAAGCCCTTTTTACTATTTGCTTGTTTTTCCATTTATTTACGAAGTCATCAAGTCATCTTTATCCTAATACTAGTCATGGTTTATCTGCTCTTTTTATTTATTTATAATTTTCATTGCCATCAGCAACCCCTTTATTTACCTTCTTCAAAACCCTTTTTACTATTAGGTTGTTTTTCCATTTATTTACGAAGACATCAAGTCATCTTTATCCTAATACTAGTCACTGTTTATCTTCTCTTTTTATTTATTTATAATTTTCATCGCCATCAGAAGCCCTTTTATTTACCTTTTCTCAAAAGCCCTTTTTACTATTTGGTTGTTTTTCCATTTATTTACGAAGACATCAAATCATCTTTATCCTAATACTAGTCACTGTTTATCTGCTATTTTTTATTTATTTATAATTTTCATCGCCATCAGCAACCCCTTTATTTACCTTCTTCAAAAGCTCTTTTTATTTTTTGGTTGTTTTTCCATTTATTTACGAAGACATTAAATCATCTTTATCCTAATACTAGTCACTGTTTATCTGCTCTTTTTATTTATTTATAATTTTCATTGCCATCAGAAGCCCTTTTATTTACCTTTCCCCAAAAGCCCTTTTTACTATTTGGTTGTTTTTCCATTTATTTACGAAGACATCAAATCATCTTTATCCTAATACTAGTCACTGTTTATCTGCAATTTTTTTTTTATTTATAATTTTCATCGCCATCAGCAACCCCTTTATTTACCTTCTTCAAAAGCTCTTTTTATTTTTTGGTTGTTTTTCCATTTATTTACGAAGACATTAAATCATCTTTATCCTAATACTAGTCACTGTTTATCTGCTATTTTTTATTTATTTATAATTTTCATCGCCATCAGCAACCCCTTTATTTACCTTCTTCAAAAGCTCTTTTTTTTTTTTGGTTGTTTTTCCATTTATTTACGAAGACATTAAGTCATCTTTATCCTAATTATAGTCATTGTTTATCTGCTCTTTTCATTTATTTATAATTTTCATCGCCATCCGCAACCCTTTTGTTTACCTTTCCCCAAAAGCCCATTTTACTATTTGGTTGTTTTTCCATTTATTTACGAAGTCATCAAGTCATCTTTATCCTAATACTAGTCACTGTTTATCTGCTCTTTTTATTTATTTATAATTTTCATCGCCATCAGCAACCCCTTTATTTACCTTTCCTTCAAAAGCCCTTTTTACTATTTGGTTATTTTTCCATTTATTTACGAAGTCATCAAGTCATCTTTATCCTAATACTAGTCACTGTTTATCTGCTATTTTTTATTTATTTATAATTTTCATCGCCATCAGCAACCCCTTTATTTACCTTTCCTCAAAAGCCCTTTTTACTATTTGGTTGTTTTTCCATTTATTTACGAAAGCATCAAGTCATCTTTATCCTAATACTAGTCACTGTTTATCTGCTCTTTTTATTTATTTATTATTTTCATCGTCATCATCAACCCCTTTATTTACCTTTCCTCAAAAGCCCTTTTTACTATTTGGTTATTTTTCCATTTATTTACGAAAGCATCAAGTGATCTTCATCCTAATACTAGTCACTGTTTATCTGCTCTTTTTTTTTATTTATAATTTTCAACGCCACCATCAACCCCTTGTTTTACCTTTCCTCAAAAGCACTTTTTACTATTTGGTTGTTTTTCCATTTATTTACGAAAGCATCAAGTCATCTTTATCCTAATACTAGTCACTGTTTATCTGCTCTTTTTATTTATTTATAATTTTCATCGCCATCATCAACCCCTTTATTTACCTTTCCTCAAAAGCCCTTTTTACTATTTGCTTGTTTTTCCATTTATTTACGGAGACATTAAGTCATCTTCATGCCATTTCTAGTTACTGTTTCATGTCCTTCTATTTATTGATAATTTTCACCTCTATTTGCAACCCTTTTTGTCAAAATATGCCATCTCCCCCATAATTTTCTCTATTTATTGATGAAGATTTCAAGTCATCTGTATCTTAATGTTAGTTACTGTTTATATGTCTTTCTATTTACTTATGATTTTTATTTCTATCAGCAATCACTCTGCTTTCCTTTCCAAAAAAAGATCGACTCTCCTTCGTTCTTATGGAATTATCTTCTACATGCGGAGGCGCATTTCCACTTGTTTTGAGCAAGATGTCAAGATGGCCTCCAGATTGGCGGGAGAAGATCATTGAAAGTCTCTGCAAGTTGGAAAGCCTTCAAAGGCTTTTGGTGAGTTATTTGAAAATGTTCTTTTCTATCTGTTTTCTCTTAGATTTTTTGATCGATTAAACAGATCTCGCTTACCATGTAAAGAGGCTTACCCTTGGAATGATTATTTTATAACGAATGGGGCCTATGCTTTCAAACAAACGTCTCAAATGAACAGCTATTGCAATTTACAAAGGAGAGTTGTGATAAAAATATTATCAAAGTTTATGTGTTGGAGTTTAGTCGCTTGTGATGGTTTTAGATGTATTCTTTTATCTTAAGTAGAAGAGTAGATGAGAGACATACAAGGTGGTTTTAAAAAACAAAAGCAAAATATTCCTGCCTTTTTTATTTCTAAACATTTTCCAAATTGTCAAAGCATGAAAATGTAGTATGATGATGCAACTTCCTGTAAAATATTGGACAATAGTTAGGTTTTTTTTCACAAACTTGTGAGATTTTGTTAAGATGCTATCAGTCAGATATATTTGCTTTATGATTGGGTTTCTATGACTGTCGATTTTCCTCACTCTGAATAGAAATAGCTTGAATGTCTTGGTCATAAATTTTATGTAGTTGCAACAGGACCAATCAGTCAGTAATCATGTTTCTGCTAGTCTACCTTTTTCTATCCAGTGCTTTGTTGGCATTGTGTCATGTTTAAAAGAGGGGCTTAATGCCAAGTCATGATTTTTGCACTGATTCTGATACAGTTCCTTAAATATGAAACAGGCCATGTGCAGTATTTCACACATTGTGATTACTTTGCCCAATACAAACAAACTGAATACAAACTGAGTAGCTTTTTTATCAGTTGTTTTGTATTCTAGTTATCAATAGATCTAGAATGCTGCTTTCAGGAGACCTTTCTTTTATAAACTGAACAGAAACCATGGAAATTGACGGAGAAATTTTCCTGTTTTTCTATAATGATGTTGAATTTAATTGGTTAAAAAAAATTCCCAGGATGTAATTATAGAATTGTTTTGCAATCATTTGAAGATATCTGAGTTGAAAAGATCTTACTATTCTTGAAATATTGCTGTGCAAGGTCACCAAGGGCCAAAGCAGGTTTTTGAATTTGTGGAAGGGGGACTTCTGTTTTTTTATTTAAAAAACTTTTGCTCCAAATAAAGCCCTTCAATTATAGATTATAAAGACCTGAGATGAATAAAATTGATACCAGGTTGCATATGAATTGGATGTTCCAGGCCTGGCCGTATGCATTTTTGTAAGTGAGCTGTGAATTGCTCCCCTCATTTACTGAGGCGAGCTAAAATAGAAACACATAGAATGTACTTTAAAGGCAATCAACAGATGGCTAAAGCCTCAATCTGTCTATTGCCTTGATAGTCTTGAAATCAAGGAGTAGGCTGTTGTTCTTCTTTCAACTTATATAATGCTTTAACGGTGGTTCAGGCACCCTCTGTTGTACAAAATTTAAAAGACTTTGAAAAAAATTGACACAAACTTTAAGTTTTCACCCCAACACTTTTCAGAGTATAAAGCATCAGAACATAGATCAAAAATTCTACGCTAGGAAATATATATAATACTGGAAGGGACCTGCTGTTTTATTCTATCCCCCAATCATCAATTTTTACCAATTCTTCAACTTTCCTACCAAGAGTATGTCGGTTTTCATAAGGCTGACAGGTTCTAATCTCTGCAAACATACCTTTTGCTTCACTATCCTTTTCGAAATAGATTGAAGTTTGTGACTATCATAACAAAAACCGCTCCAAAAGCAAAAAATTAATTGCAAAAAATGCAGTGAGTGACAGGAGAATTGCTGTTGCAAAAATAAACCAATTGACCCTTGTAAGTTTTTCAAGGTTCTGTGAATACGAAAAGGGCAAACTTAGAGGAGCCATTTTTCCTTCATGTTCTGTTTAGGAGAGCAATTCACAGCTCCCCTCAGGTTGCAAGGGGAGTGCGAAGTTGAGCGCGATCTATTGCTTGCCCCAAACGGCCAGGCCTGATGTTCTAAATAGCTGTTCTGTGGTATGTGAGTCATAGACAAAGCAGAACTGCGGGATACATTTTTTATCATTTCTTAAATGGGAAAAACTATGAACTTAATAGCATAGGAAATTTGTGGGTAGGCTCAGTCTTACAAGAATATGTGCCTCAAAACTGATTTAAATGAATAACAATATAAGAACTGGTTAAAAATGATATAGTTTTTTGCACAATCTGGGTTATCCAGTAGATGCTGCCTGATAGCGGAATCGCATATTTTACTATACCTGCAAAATGGAAGAGGCTGTTCTCTTTGGGAATGAATTTTGTTTCTAATGCTTGTCTTTAATACTTTCTTTCTAACTTTTGTGGTGTTTTATAAATGCTTTCAAAGTATTTGTTGATGAATTTTACATTTTGTAAAAATTGCCCAACTGACTTAAACAAGGACATTGATTTAATGCCAGCCTGCCGTCCAATTTTTTTATAGCAAAGTCTTACTCAACTTCTACTGTCACACATGCAGGACTTTTCACTAAGAGCAGTCTTTCACTGAATCAAAAACGTCTTTCATCATACTTGTATTGCATGCTCTACTTGCTTTTTTCATGAACAATCGTAGGAATTCTGTTTTTAGAAGGCCAATGGCAATTGGTTGAAACCAAAAAAACCATCAATCCTAAAACTTCAATCTATTTAGAGCATTTGTTTGAAATAACAGTAGCAAACATTTATTAACAGTTTAAAATATCAATGTTTTGACAGGTAGCTGCAAACTTTTGAAACCGCAAAAGCCTCACTTGAAATTGATCTATATATTTGGTCAATGTATTCTTGTGGAATTTCGTATTAGGCCTGGAAAATTCTTACAATTAATGGGTCTCTGGGCGATCATTTGGACCATTGTTTGTAACGTTTTTTCATTTGAACTCAAACTTTGTTAGTGATGTCAAAAATTGGACTTGATTCTGGCTATGCCAAAGCTTTAATTTCTTTTTTATGGAAATGAATCTTTACAAAATTAGTTTTTGTTTACTTTTTCTTTTGTATTTGTACAAAATACCCATTATATTTTCTGTGGATGGATTTTGAGCTGCAAAACCTTGCCCAGTGTTGAGTTGCATGCCTTTTACTGTCCCTTGGTGTAAGCGCAGCAAAATAAAACAGACAAATTCTTTCCCCTCTAACATCAACTTTTTTTGGTCACCCACTTCTCGGTTTCTTTACTACTGTAACACTCTCGAGACATTTTCCCACAGCTGTTGTGTAGATACTTCTAACTTGGTCAACATTTTTTTTAAAATTAAAGACCCCTTCCTCGTAATATTTTATGCGACTCGCCTCTAGTTTGACAATTTTGTTTCCACAATTTATACATTTCTAACTAAGTTTTCTATGACGTCAGCAAAATTTGCGAACTTTCCTGCCAAAGTTTACTTTAAAATGGCCTATTTCACCAAATTAATGCATTCTATTGTTTTGCATTATCAAAAAGTTGACCAAAAGTGCCACCATTTTGAGCAAGGTTGTGCAATACTTTTGATACCCTAGTGTATATGCTATATAAAAAAGGAACACAAAAAGGCATCAAGCATGTCAAAGTCTACAGGTAACCACTTTCTGCATGGCTATCTATATGTTTATCAGAACACACGCAAATGTAAGATAAAGTTTCAGTTTTTTGGTTAGCTTGATATCAACTAGGCATGAGGAGCAGTTGGATCATTAAAAGTGTTGTGTTACTAGTTTACCCTTGTTGTCCTTTTTACCTCCATTACATTGACTAATAAGGAATTTTGTCTAGAATTTTAGCAAAGGTTCCTGCAGTTACTTGATCTGTGATTCCCCTTTGGCAACATGACAAGGTTAAACCCCAGATTCATTCAAAATCAGTAAGAGCTTTCTAGTGTATGTGAAACAAAAAGCCATAGTCAAAGAAGTCATAAGATCTTGTTGTTAATTCAAATCTTCAGGTTTTTGAATTTTGAATCAAAATCAGTTGAGCGCAAACTAGATGAATCCATCTAAACTGGGATTTCTTTTCAATTTCTTTGTCCTTTTTTATTTGTTTTTTGATGATTGATTTATGCATGATTACTATAATTTATACTGCATGAGGTAATTTATACTGCATGAGGGCTCACAGTTGTTTCTGGTTACAGTTCCAAAATTATCAAGCATAATTTTTCAATTAATGGATTAGACAAAAGCAAAGGAGTAATCCAGGATGCTTGGGTATTTTTCGCTATCTTTCATTCTAGATTAAATTAATGTCAGGGCAGGTACCAGAAATTTGCATTTCAGTATTATCAACAGAAAGTCTTTGTTTAATGTATGCCCTTATTCTTTACATTCTTTCAAACTTATGCTGAAGCTGTTTAGTGCAAGCCACTTTCCCGTGCCCCATAAATCTTTTCTTTACACCCCTGTAGCCAAACAAAAATAAATTTGTTGTTATAGATAGAAAAAATGCATTTGTTTGGTATAGATATTTCAGAATGTACTCATGTGTCAGTTATAATGTGCTGATTGGTCAGATAGAATTTTCTACAAAAACATAATGGTTAAGGCCATTTGCTTGAATGATGTTTGTGGAAATCACTTTCATATGTATGATCTTAATTTTAACCAATGATCAGGAACACTCCTTGTCATTTACTTGCCTTATAAGGTATGGAAATGCAATTTTTTCACAACTTTCTGTTTTAAAACAGCACAAACACAGTTTGAGTAGCCTGTATTTATGTGTTAGATGTAACAATTTGAAAAGGTGGAGATATGACTAATGAAAAGTGCTGTTCACCAAAAAGTATGAAATCCTGTCAAGTTGAAGTATTGCATATAGTCTTCTTTGTCACCTTTCTATTTAGATATTTTTAATCAAATAGCATTTCTTTAACAGTTGCCAAATGTTGCCTAACAACACACAAATTTTTAGCTTTTGTGAAGTTTGTCTGAAGACTTTTGTTTTAAACATTTCTAGGAAGAACAAGAGGTTCCAGTCAAGTTGAAGTATTGTATCTCGCCATTCAAAAGACATTTGGTGGACTCAGACACTTAATAGAGTATATTTTTTGTATAAGTATTGTATTGTATTGCTTTACCCTGGGCTGTATTTTGGACTGTTCTTTTAAACAAGCCCCAACATACCCCCACCCCCCACCCCCCACCCACCCAAAGTTAAATGATTTGAGAAACTGGCAGTGGTCAGTGATTCTAATTTCTTCATTATGCGCTTCCCATTCAGCTGTTTCTTCATTGTCATAGGCTCTTCCTATTACTTACTATTTAAGTAACCTGTAATTGAGCTAAAGTGGGTTTTCACCACTCAGTGTCCCCCCTCTGGCTATAAATATGTTTGGAGCCAGTTGAAATTGCTGCTTTTCAGTGGTTTGGCACAATACTTTGTATGTAGCAATACATAGTTATATTTTGCAATTCACTGCAACAAATAAGATAGATCTTGCCCTTACTTAGTAACAGCATTAGTTTTTCCACATGAGATTCAAAATTTGATGAGAAATGAGGTAAATTTTAGATTTAAATTAGATGTCTGAGGTGTCACTGCAGAATTTAGTCCATTGAATTTGCAGATATTATAATGTGCTTGTCGTAATAAGCCTGCTCAGTTTATGTCTACTCAAAGAATTGTTTCCTTTTCACTTGTTTCATTTATTCAAGTGTTTGTTTGTTTATTGATTGGTAATCCTAGCTATAGTTTTCCTCTTTGTGTATCTCGGAATTGCCCCCCCCCTCTCTCTCTAGATTTAGCCCACAACCTTGAGATTGAAATCTTTGATAAGCCCCCAATCTGCCATGCCAATTTCAACAACATTTTTGCCCATGATAAATGTCATTTTGACCAAATATATGTATATGCATGCGTTCCCCTCGACCCACTACATAGTGTACTCAATTCTTCTTGCATAAAAACTAGAATGATAATGAACATAGCTTTGTTTTTGTTGTGAATATTGAAATATTAAAAGTTCTGTATGTCATCGTGAACTCGAAACATTTTGGCCACTTTTGACAGTACATGCACGGCACCTTTTTCGCAAATTTTTTATGTTCAATTCTAAGATTTACTGTCTGTATCGGGCTTCGGTCCTCAAAAGTCAAGAGGTAAAGGTCAAAGGTTCGAGTCAATTCTTCGTTTTCGTTTTGCTTCAAAAATATTTTCTTCTTCTTGTGTCGAGTACTTAGCTTCATTTTCCACTTAAACAGCTTTTGCGACTATTATATAAACGTTTCAAATACGCAAGTTTGTCTGCCAGTTTTGGAAAATTGTTCATTTCAAAATCTTTACACTCGATTCTTTAAACCGAAATCTTTAAAACTTGCAAGATAGAGCTGTAAGTGAAAAAAAAATATAATATTTATTTTAAAGAAATTAGGCGAAAGGTAAAATTGTTTTATTTAAACTTTTTACGTTGTATGGTTGTCGTAGTATTTTGTTTGCAATCTATATCCAAGTAAAATATACTAGCATTTGTTACCTTCGTTAACCAAGCGACCGTGTGGCCCAGTGGTATTAGTGGGTGACTGCTAATGTCAAAGGTCACAAGGTCGTGGGTTCGAATCCCGGCTCAAGCGCTATTTTTCCACCAGAAAATTCAAGCGACAATCACATGGAGAGAAGGACAATGGAAACAATAGATGGACAATGGAACAATGCGAAACAATGGGAATTGCGAAACAATGGGCTATTCAAAAGGGGAGAACAAAGAGCTTGGATTCGAACAGGCGCATGCGCTTCCCGGTGGGCGGTAGTCCCCGGCTCCGGATAACCGGAGCTGGGGAAGACCGCTTACAGGGGGATACCAACGGAGTCAGCAGGCTGGCCTCCGACTGAAAAGTCAGGGGGATATGCTCGTCTCCAAGATGAAAAGTAGGGGGACAGTCTGCACTCCGAGAGAAAACACAGGGGGAAGGTTCAAAATTTTTCTTCGAAAAATTTTTTACAAGTATAAAGGGTCCCCCACCCCGCCCCGCCATGCTGGGCCTCTCCCACGGAGTGCCCCAACGCCCTACCTGCACTGCAAGATCCTGATGAGCCCCAGCCAGTCATGCTCCGCTTCATCTATCTTACCATCTCTCCAGGTTTGCTCTTTATCCCTTAGGTGAGAGGACTTATTTTTCTCCTACACCATCTCTTCAACTGCCCGTCATCTTAACAAGTATATTGTACAACAAAGAACCAGTATCAAAACTCATCTCCTAAATCTAACCTAGCCTATTTCTGAGGGGTAAATCATATTGCACCATTTCTCCCCGTTGTCACAAGACACCATTGGCTTACTGGGGGCACTGCCCTGCAAACCTAAAGCATACAACCTAACCGGCCTAAAGATCAACACTGCTTTTAGGGGAAAAATTCCAAAATTTTTGTAAACAGTGCTAAAATGCGCACTCCTTGCAGTTTGATCGGTGTGAGATGTGAGAGGTGTTGCAGACCCGTTGACCAAGACCACCAAAGCCTACCTACCAGCAACTTTGATAACTTGACTAGTAAGGCCACTGTTCACAACGTCTACGCGCCACCCAGCATTTCTCGTCATTGCCCGGTACGTGCCAAGCACACAGAAAAATTGTCCCGTTGCAGTGTTATGGACGAGGGGAAATTTGGCAGCAAATGGACGAAAAGAGCCTAAGCGTCGGCAGTCCATCACGAAATGTACAAATTAAATAAATAAAAAAGGGCTACTTAAAACAAAAAAGGCAATAAACTCAAAAATCGATATCAATAATTACAAACAATATACACATATCATTAATAGAGACTGATTTAAAAATTTACTATAAAAATGGAGAAGACAGAATACAGGGTAGAAGTACCTAGTTTTTCCATTTTACAGCAAACAGTTTGGTTGGCCTTCGGTTTTACATTATTCTAGGGTATGGATAAATTATTTCAAATGTGAAAAACTTGCAGAAGATAAACTGCCAATTAGAAATTCAAAACTTAGGGGAACAATTTAAGCACAGGAAAATACCTTTCCAGAAATATTTTGATGTTGTGAAAAAACAATTCGATAGAAATGCGGATTTTCGAGTATCGAATGGACGCGAAATTAAAATATTTTACACGTGAAATGCCTTCTCAAAATATTTTGATTTTGCTCGGGCTTACAAATTTAGTCTTTAGCAAGGGATTGTATAAATTTTTGGGAAAATTGAGTGCGGGGGCAACATTTTTGGAAAAATCAAATAAAGGAAAAATTTTGGAAAAGCCAAAAGCATAGAAATATTTGCAAAAAGCATAAGTACGTTAGAGCATGAAAAAGGGATGATACAAGTTAATTATGTTGATACCAAATGTAAAATGTTTTGAAATCGATTTATAGGGAAGATTTTTGAAAACCGAATAACCCCGAAACGTTATTGGGCAAGAAAAGAGTTGAAGAAAAGAAAGAAGTATTTAAGTATTCAAATAAAAAAATGCTTGGATGTAATGAGTTATTTATAAAAATACTTTACATTAGAAATAATAAAATAATATGGCCCTTACAAACCTTAACTTTGCTGCTTAGTGTTAAGAAAGATATTTAAAATTATCCTGTTTTTTCTTTTTGAACATTAATTAATCTAAATTTTAGTATCACTGGTCAAGTTATTGAAAATTGCCGAGAGTAACAAAAATAGAAATCTTATGCTATGATAAATTTGAATCTTTATACTGACTACTCCGAAAGTTTAGTTATTTGAGTTTATGTAAGATTGTTCACAAGGATTGGCTGCTGTTTAATTGTTTTAATAATAAATATATTCACAATTGAAGGTGAATTTATCATGTATTTATTATAAAACTTAATTAACTTTAATATTTTAAAGTTAAAATTTCAACACTACTCTTTCCCTTATTAAATATTTTCAGTACTTATCACTTATCATTAATTGTTAGAACTGGTATTATAATTATCATTGCAATCTAATATTTAACAAAACCTGACCTGATTTCTGTTAAGCACATTGCAATATTTTCTTGTAAACGTTAGAAGCAGGCTAGCTAAAAAACTACCGTCTTGTTAGCTTAACGTTATAGAAACTTAGAAAGCATAATTATAAAAATTATTGCAGTATGATAACATTATTTTTACTAGCTTGTTGGTTTTTATAAGAAGATTTTATAGAAATAATGCATAAGATTAGGACCGTTTAAAGGGTCATTACTGCTGGTAAAATTAGTTATTAGTTAACCTTACAAAATAAAAAAAATCCTTAATCTAGTAAATGATAACAGGCGCACATAACATGAAGAACTGCAAGGTTACCTATTCAACAGGACGTTTCGCCGTACCCTTGACCGATAGGGTAAATCAAATAACAATAAAAATAATTACTTATACCAAAAACCCTCGCACCCGACTAGAGAGCCAGGACAGATCAGAAATTGCTATCCTTACAACACAACCCCGATCAACACTTTTAGTTGCTAGATCGCAGCCTTTCGTTCCCATTGCGGCACTCCCATTCACCAAGACATCGTTGCAGCAAAGAGAATACTCTAATGCAATATGATTCACTCGCCGTTAAAGTTACCTATCATTGAGAAAGTGACCAAAAACATTGAACCCACCCTATGTTTGAAGAAACCTTATGCTACCTATCCTTCGTCCCAATGATGAATTTGGATACTGGTTAAATGTGTACAATATACAAGCAAAGATGACAAGCAATTAAAGAAATAATGGAAGAGAGAATAAATCCTCTTACCTTTGAGATGAAGGGCAAACTTGCAGAGATGGAAAGACAGGATGAAGCGGAGAACTACCAGCTGGAGCCCATCAGAATCTTGCAGCGCAGGCAGGACGTCGAAGCACTCCGTGGGAAGAGGCCCAGCATGGCGGGGCGGGGTGGGGGTGTGTCCGCACAAACATTCCTTGTTCCCAATCCCTAATACAAGAAGTCGTTAAGAAAATGTGCAGACACGATGCAGGTGCAAAACCATATGATAGAGCATGTGCTTCGTCTAGAAGCTCTAAGAAGCTAAAAATTGGAATATACTGAACGAATTGTAGAATCAAGACGTGGGAAGAGACCGAATTTCAAAACCATCAAAGAAATCAAAAGGGAACTGTAATTTCTGAAGTTTTCATTGTCCTTGGAAAAATAGACGAAAATTCTGGAAGGTTTGTTTTTGTAAGCCAAACCTTTCTAAATAAGCAGAGGTTTCCTTGCCCAGGCACGACAAACAGATCAAAGAGTTTCAGAATTTTGGTTTACAGAGGGGGCTCTTCGGGTAGGTTGTTGGAGACATGGCCAAAAGACACCCAAATTACACCAAAGTATTTGAATGACCAAAGTTTCTTTAAGAAAATGACCCGATTAGGCTTTTGAAAGGGATATGCTGGTAGCGTGAAAACTAAAAACTATTTTTAGGGGGAAAGACCAGTGCGTAAAGTGACAACCATCCCCCAACTTAGTTTTATCCCAACTCAGTAAAATTTGAGGTTAAGGGCACCCGTGAAAAGCCTTATCATATGAATTTTGCACCAGCATTATAATTACTATTTATACACAACTACAATTTACACGCAGTTTCCAATTTTACAAGCAGTACATCCTCTAACCACCTGAGTCTTTAGTTTATTTAAACCCCAAGATTGTTCTATTATTAAATCCTTGCTATCAAACGCGGGAGATGGCGAACAAAGTGACGCACAGGCACAGCACCATGCTCTTGTAAATCCAAACCACGCGAGCTTCATCTTTGGTGGTATTTCTTCCTGCTTGCATCTTTGGGTCTGTTGTTTGGTACTTTAATGAGAGTCACAGAGGTAACAGGGAAGAAACGAGCTTATAAGAAAAATCAGGCAAGTTACGAAGAAAAGAAATATCCTTAGGCAAAAATCAAAGGCTTCAATGAAAGTCGAATAAGGGGGATTTTCAACAGCGCTTAAACATCTGATGGTAAATGTTTTCAGACAAAAGGAAGACATCGAGATATTCAGCAGTCGCTAAAATGTCTGCCAAACTTTAAACATTCGAAAATGTAGATCTATTCCTACTTACGACTTGAAGTCAGAAACTCGACGTTTTTCGTTTTCATGTGTGCGGGAAAATTTCGTGAAAGTGAGTTTGATGGAACGAATAAGTACCTTTTGGGTGGAGAGAAAATACTCATTTTTATTAAATATTTGGGGGGGGGTAAAAATTAAATATTTTATTAAATATTCAGGAGCTATAAAATAAAAGTGAGAAATAAATAAAAAGGACTATAAAACAATGTTAGGAAGAACAAGGTGAATAGAGAAGAAATGAAACATTTCATAGGGAAGAACAAGATAAAAAGAGTAGAAATGATAAAATGATCTTCTTTGCTCCTTAGACCATCTGTGCTTTGCAGTTCACCACCTTACTCCGGGTTGCTTGAAAAATCTCGTATTTCTGAAGCCATGGCTTCAACCGTGGTCTCCATTCGTTATGTAGCCTGTAGTGTTCCTTCTTGCCAAGGCATGCCTCAAAGTTCTCATCCATTCGTTATGTGGATTTCACATGAAGAGTATTTTCTTTTCTTCCATCCTTTTTGCTTGTTCTCCTCCACTGTCCAACGGCGAGAAGAATACTACTGTCCTTTAAGCAAGCCATATCCCTTGTTTGAAACCATGCAACTGCCATCTGACGTTACGTGTTTTGGATTATAACCTAGTCAAGGTCCCTTCCCTGGTTAAATTATAACTCAGGTGATTGTAGGAAGTCCTGAATTGGTCATTCAAGCAGATTATCCTTACTTAAAATCCTTACCTTATAAAGTCTATTTGCAAAATAACTCATGATATTTTGTGTTCCTTACGACTTATAACAAAGGTCTACTGAAAGGAGCCAGGATATCATTCCTTGAAAAACTTGCAAAAATGTCTCATTTGACTAACTGGAGAGAGTGGTGAAATAACTGCATCATGAAAAGGACTTTAGAAAATCACCGTAAATTTCAACTAAAATGAGGGGACAAACTGCTGTTTTGCAAGGATTTAATTTATGCTTGATTATGCCCTTTTAATTATGCTTGATTATTCTTATCAAAACTCAAAAGCAAACTAGAAGGACGATTAATGTATTAGCAGCTAAAAAGGGGGAGGTTCCATCCTGTTATTGTCATCTTGAGTAATTTCGAGACTGAAAACTAGCCTAACGAAACTGCTGCTTAAATGACCATTCCCTATGGTGGAATAAAAATGCAGTTAATGCTGGCATGCCTATTTCAAAACATTCAAAATGTTCCCAGTTAAAAACAAAACTCCTCCCCCCCCCACCATCTCCATCCCTACCCAGTCCACGTCTTCGAAAGACACACTTCTGTCACTTAAAACGGTAAGCGCTGCCTTGCTTTACGCGTCTCTTATCGTGCTCACTTCCCAAAGATCGGCGCCTTTTTTGCATAAGAATCTTTCGAATAGATCCAAACGTCCTTCCAGACTCATAAAGAGGGACAAATTTTTTCTAACGCGCATGTAAATGCCAGCAAATACTGCACTTCTAATCCACTTACTATAATAAATGTACACAATGCTGTCCTTGGTAACAATTCTCATCTTCAGAAAGTTTTCTACTAGTTCATCTTCTTGTGACTTTCCTCTTGTGACCCTTCTTCTTGTAATCTTCTTCTTGTTGTCTTCTTCTTGTGATCATCCTCTTCTCATTTCTTCTTTCATTTGATTTTTTCCTCTGAACAATGGACCTCTGAAAACGGATGACAATAAGCGTGTAACATATATTTCTCTGTCAGCAATTTTTTAAAAAGGTTCTTAACAAGCACATAGAACAATGCTTTGCCGCAAAATACAAAATTGGAGGTTTTGGGAGAAAATTGCAAGATTGATAGTTGCATAAAATAATCAAATGAACAGAAGAGGCAAGGACTGATTACATAGGCGACAAATGATTTGATAAAGGGGTCTTAATGTTTACAAGCACTCGAAGCATGTGTTAACCTTTGCAATTGAATACAGAAACATGAGTTACGAATAGTGCTATGAATATATTTGAAAAGCAATACCTCCGAAAATGGCATCTTTCAACTGGCTCCACTGATAAAGGATATGCTAACTTGGAAACGAGACTAGTGGTGACACCTAAAAAATTATCAAATACTTCAAAAAAATGTATTTGAAGACAAAGAAACAAATGCAAGAGTCAAAAATATTTATTCAAAAGAGATAAAAAAGAACTTGAAAATCTCAATTTCTATCAAAATGAGAAATTCAAAAGGGGATTCTTCTCAAATCGAGCAACGTTTCATCTCTATGGAGAAATTATAGAAAAGCAAATAAAATTTCAAAGATATTATTACTTTTTAAAAATCGGGTGATGATTTGCAAAAGACATAAAAAAACTGGAATGGATATTAAAAGAAGGTAAAAATTTCAGGAAAAACAAAATGAATCAACTACGGACAAGAAAACGTTGTGGCATGAATCGACACAAATTAATCAAATCTTACCATTTAAAAGCCTTCAATAATCTATAAAATCATATTTCAACATATGTTCTAGGCTATAAAGTCAACATGCAAAGGAATGGAAACATGCATTGCCAACCCTTTACGCGGATAGTATGTTGAAAAGCTCAGAAGAAATAGCTCTGTAGAAAAACTGAAAAATCTTCCTTTTCAAAGATAGAAAAACCAAGAAAAAACCAAGTAAGTTCAAGATTGAAGATCTTCTATACTAACCTTTATACCAACAGAAACATGAAGAGCACCAATCCACATCCATTCTTAAATCAGTTGAAATGAAAGTCCAACAGAAAGAACATGCTACAGTCAGCTTTTTCCAATACTCTTTTCGACATCGATGCAGCACAGTGATTTTCAGTCTCTACTTGAAGAGCTGAGGGGCAACAACCTCTATGATGACAGCAGTCAAGGAATCCTCCAGGAAAATTATCATTCTTACAGAATCGAGCAATTTTCCACTTGCAGAAATTAATTTTCCTCTCAAGATACAAATTTCTGAATCTTCTAAAATATCATGGTTTCGATTGATAGTGTCATGTAGATTGGAATCTGGATCACTTTCTGGCAACACTGTTGTGGCGTCTAAAATAACCACCAATCCAGGACAACACTCTCCTTGATGGCAGCAGTCAAGGAATCCTCCAGGAAATTATCATTCTTACAGAATCGAGCAATTTTTCACTTGCAGAAAGTAATTTTCCTCTCAAGATACAAATTTCTGAATCTTCTAAAATATCATGGTTTCGATTGATAGTGTCATGTAGATTGGAATCTGGATCACTTTCTGGCAACACTGTTGTGGCGTCTAAAATAACCACCAATCCAGGACAACACTCTCCTTGATGGCAGCAGTCAAGGAATCCTCCAGGAAATTATCATTCTTACAGAATCGAGCAATTTTTCACTTGCAGAAAGTAATTTTCCTCTCAAGATACAAATTTCTGAATCTTCTAAAATATCATGGTTTCGATTGATAGTGTCATGTAGATTGGAATCTGGATCACTTTCTGGCAACACTGTTGTGGCGTCTAAAATAACCACAAATCCAGGACAACACTCTCCTTGATGGCAGCAGTCAAGGAATCCTCCAGGAAATTATCATTCTTACAGAATCGAGCAATTTTTCACTTGCAGAAAGTAATTTTCCTCTCAAGATACAAATTTCTGAATCTTCTAAAATATCATGGTTTCGATTGATAGTGTCATGTAGATTGGAATCTGGATCACTTTCTGGCAACACTGTTGTGGCGTCTAAAATAACCACCAATCCAGGACAACACTCTCCTTGATGGCAGCAGTCAAGGAATCCTCCAGGAAATTATCATTCTTACAGAATCGAGCAATTTTTCACTTGCAGAAAGTCATTTTCCTCTGAAGAAACAAATTTCTGAATCTTCTAAAATATCATGGTTTCGATTGATAGTGTCATGTAGATTGGAATCTGGATCACTTTCTGGCAACACTGTTGTGGCGTCTAAAATAACCACAAATCCAGGACAACACTCTCCTTGATGGCAGCAGTCAAGGAATCCTCCAGGAAATTATCATTCTTACAGAATCGAGCAATTTTTCACTTGCAGAAAGTCATTTTCCTCTGAAGAAACAAATTTCTGAATCTTCTAAAATGACATGGTCTCGATTGGTAGTGTCATAGATTGGTATCTGGATCACTTTCTGGAAACACTGTTGTCAGGTCTAAAATAATGACAAAAAAAATCTTCATGAACTCTATCAAAATAAAAAAGTCAAAAACAACCAAAATGAAATAGCTGTCTTCACAAGAACACATTGAGCTGTCAAGACCAACATATCCAAATAAAAGTGACTCGAGAAGAGATGAACTTGACAGTAATAAAAAACATATCTTTAAATGGCGAATAGATTCCTTAAAAAATGCTCCAGCTCATTTACAAATTAAATCATTTATTACATTTCAAGAAACAAGCACCCTTGAAACCTTTACATCATTTTCTAAATGTGATGAGGAAGCCAAAAACGATTCTCATAATTATTGCCTTCAAACATGAAATATCCCTGAATAAAAAACTTCAAATAGGTTCAAGATAGAAAACTTGCTGGACATACCTTCGTAGAAACAGAAACAAGAAGACTACCAATCCACATCTATTCTTAAATCAGTTGAAATGAAAGTCCAACAGAAGGAACATGCCACTGTCAGCTTTTTCCAATACTCTTTTCGACATCGATGCAGCACAGTGATTTTCAGTCTCTACTTGAAGAGCTGAGGGGCAACAACCTCTATGATGACAGCAGTCAAGAAATCCTCCAGGAAAATTATCATTCTTACAGAATCGAGCAATTTTCCACTTGCAGAAACTAATTTTCCTCTCAAGATACAAATTTCTGAATCTTCTAAAATATCATGGTTTCGATTGATAGTGTCATGTAGATTGGAATCTGGATCACTTTCTGGCAACACTGTTGTGGCGTCTAAAATAACCACCAATCCAGGACAACACTCTCCTTGATGGCAGCAGTCAAGGAATCCTCCAGGAAATTATCATTCTTACAGAATCGAGCAATTTTTCACTTGCAGAAAGTAATTTTCCTCTCAAGATACAAATTTCTGAATCTTCTAAAATATCATGGTTTCGATTGATAATGTCATGTAGATTGGAATCTGGATCACTTTCTGGCAACACTGTTGTGGCGTCTAAAATAACCACCAATCCAGAACAACACTCTCCTTGATGGCAGCAGTCAAGGAATCCTCCAGGAAATTATCATTCTTACAGAATCGAACAATTTTTCACTTGCAGAAAGTCATTTTCCTCTGAAGAAACAAATTTCTGAATCTTCTAAAATGACATGGTCTCGATTGGTAGTGTCATAGATTGGTATCTGGATCACTTTCTGGAAACACTGTTGTCAGGTCTAAAATAATAACAAAAAAAATCTTCATGAACTCTATCAAAATAAAAAAGTCAAAAACAACCAAAATGAAATAGCTGTCTTCACAAGAACACATTGAGCTGTCAAGACCAACATATCCAAATAAAAGTGACTCGAGAAGAGATGAACTTGACAGTAATAAAAAACATATCTTTAAATGGCGAATAGATTCCTTAAAAAATGCTCCAGCTCATTTACAAATTAAATCATTTATTACATTTCAAGAAACAAGCACCCTTGAGACCTTTACATCATTTTCTAAATGTGATGAGGAAGCCAAAAACGATTCTCATAATTATTGCCTTCAAACATGAAATATCCCTGAATAAAAAACTTCAAATAGGTTCAAGATAGAAAACTTGCTGGACATACCTTCGTAGAAACAGAAACATCAAGAACACCAATCCACATCCATTCTTAAATCAGTTGAAATGAAAGCCCAACAGAAGGAACATGCCACTGTCAGCTTTTTCCCATACTCTTTTCGACATCGATGCAATATAGTGCGTTTTTCAGTCTCTATTTGAAGAGCTAAGGGGCAACAACCTCTCTGAAGACAGCACTCGAGGAAACCTTGAGGAAAATTATCATTCTCACAAAATGGAAAAAATTTTCACTTGCAGTAAGTCATTTTCCTCTGAAGAAACAAATTTCTGAATCTTCTAAAATTTCATCGTCTCGATTGGTTGTGTCATGTAGAATCGAATCTGGATCACTTTTTGGCAACACTGTTGTGGGGTCTAAAATATTGACAAAAGGAATCTTCACAAACTCTTTCGAAATAAAAAAGTCAAAAACAACCAAAATGAAATAGCTGTCTTCACAAGAACACATTGAGCTGTCAAGACCAACCTATCAAAATAAAAGTGAGCCGAGAAGAGATGAACTTGACAGTAATGAAAAAACATATCTTTAAATGGCGAATAGATTCCTTAAAATATGCTCCAGTTCATTCACAAATTAAATCATTTATTACATTCAAAGAAACAAGCACCCATGAGACCTTTACATCATTTTCTAAATGTGATGAGGAAGCCAAAAACGATTCTCATAATTATTGCCTTCAAACATGAAATATCCCAGAATTCAATAATTCAAATAAGTTCAAGATTGAAAACCTGCTGTACATACCCTCGTAGAAACAGAAACAAGAAGACTACCAATCCACATCTATTCTTAAATCAGTTGAAATGAAAGTCAAACAGAAGGAACATGCCACTGTCAGCTTTTTCCAATACTCTTTTCGACATCGATGCAGCACAGTGATTTTCAGTCTCTACTTGAAGAGCTGAGGGGCAACAACCTCTATGATGACAGCAGTCAAGGAATCCTCCAGGAAAATTATCATTCTTACAGAATCGAGCAATTTTCCACTTGCAGAAATTAATTTTCCTCTCAAGATACAAATTTCTGAATCTTCTAAAATATCATGGTTTCGATTGATAGTGTCATGTAGATTGGAATCTGGATCACTTTCTGGCAACACTGTTGTGGCGTCTAAAATAACCACCAATCCAGGACAACACTCTCCTTGTTGGCAGCAGTCAAGGAATCCTCCAGGAAATTATCATTCTTACAGAATCGAGCAATTTTTCACTTGCAGAAAGTAATTTTCCCATCAAGATACAAATTTCTGAATCTTCTAAAATATCATGGTTTCGATTGATAGTGTCATGTAGATTGGAATCTGGATCACTTTCTGGCAACACTGTTGTGGCGTCTAAAATAACCACCAATCCAGGACAACACTCTCCTTGATGGCAGCAGTCAAGGAATCCTCCAGGAAATTATCATTCTTACAGAATCGAGCAATTTTTCACTTGCAGAAAGTCATTTTCCTCTGAAGAAACAAATTTCTGAATCTTCTAAAATATCATGGTTTCGATTGATAGTGTCATGTAGATTGGAATCTGGATCACTTTCTGGCAACACTGTTGTGGCGTCTAAAATAACCACAAATCCAGGACAACACTCTCCTTGATGGCAGCAGTCAAGGAATCCTCCAGGAAATTATCATTCTTACAGAATCGAGCAATTTTTCACTTGCAGAAAGTAATTTTCCTCTCAAGATACAAATTTCTGAATCTTCTAAAATATCATGGTTTCGATTGATAGTGTCATGTAGATTGGAATCTGGATCACTTTCTGGCAACACTGTTGTGGCGTCTAAAATAACCACCAATCCAGGACAACACTCTCCTTGATGGCAGCAGTCAAGGAATCCTCCAGGAAATTATCATTCTTACAGAATCGAACAATTTTTCACTTGCAGAAAGTCATTTTCCTCTGAAGAAACAAATTTCTGAATCTTCTAAAATGACATGGTCTCGATTGGTAGTGTCATAGATTGGTATCTGGATCACTTTCTGGAAACACTGTTGTCAGGTCTAAAATAATAACAAAAAAAATCTTCATGAACTCTATCAAAATAAAAAAGTCAAAAACAACCAAAATGAAATAGCTGTCTTCACAAGAACACATTGAGCTGTCAAGACCAACATATCCAAATAAAAGTGACTCGAGAAGAGATGAACTTGACAGTAATAAAAAACATATCTTTAAATGGCGAATAGATTCCTAAAAAAATGCTCCAGCTCATTTACAAATTAAATCATTTATTACATTTCAAGAAACAAGCACCCTTGAGACCTTTACATCATTTTCTAAATGTGATGAGGAAGCCAAAAACGATTCTCATAATTATTGCCTTCAAACATGAAATATCCCTGAATAAAAAACTTCAAATAGGTTCAAGATAGAAAACTTGCTGGACATACCTTCGTAGAAACAGAAACATCAAGAACACCAATCCACATCCATTCTTAAATCAGTTGAAATGAAAGTCCAACAGAAGGAACATGCCACTGTCAGCTTTTTCCCATACTCTTTTCGACATCGATGCAACACAGTGGGTTTTTTAGTCTCTACTTGAATAGCTAAGGGGCAACAACCTCTATGATGACAGCATTCGAGGAATCCTCCAGGAAATTATCATTCTTACAGAATCGAGCAATTTTTCACTTGCAGAAAGTCATTTTCCTCTGAAGAAACAAATTTCTGAATCTTCTAAAATATCATGGTTTCGATTGGAAGTGTCATGTAGATTGGTATCTGGATCACATTCTGGCAACACTGTTGTCAGGTCTAAAATAATGACAAAAGAATCTTCACAAACTCTTTCGAAATAAAAAAGTCAAAAACAACCAAAATGAAATAGCTGTCTTCACAAGAACAGATTGAGCTGTCAGGAGCAACACATAAAAAAAAGTGAGCCGAGAAGAGATGAACTTGACAGTAATAAAAAAACATATCTTTAAATGGCGAATAGATTCCTTAAAAAATGCTCCAGCTCATTCACAAATTAAATCATTTATGACATTCAAAGAAACAAGCATCCTTGAGACCTTTACACTTTCTTCTAAATTTGATGAGGCAGCCAGAAAAACGATTCTCATAATTATTCTCTTCAAAGATGAAATATCCCAGAATTCAATAATTCAAATAAGTTCAAGAGTGAAAATCTGATGTACATACCCTCGTAGAAACAGAAAGAAGAAGACCACCAATCCACATCCATTTTTAAATCAGTTGAAATGAGAGTCCAATAGAAGGAACATGCCACTGTCAGCTATTTCCAATACTCTTCTCGACATCCATGCAGCACAGTGATTTTCAGTCTCTACTTGAAGAGCTAAGGGGCAACAACCTCTATGATGGCAGCAGTCGAGGAATCCTCCAGAGAGTTATCATTCTTACAGAATCGATCAATTTTTCACTTGCAGAAAGTAATTTTCCTCTCAAGATACAAATTTCTGAATCTTCTAAAATATCATGGTTTCGATTGATAGTGTCATGTAGACTTGAATCTGGATCACTTTCTGGCAATACTGTTGTGGCGTCTGAAATAACCACCAATCCAGGACAACACTCTCTTTGATGGCAGCAGTCGAGGAAACCTTCAGGAAAATTATCATTCTCACAAAATCGAGCAATTTTTCACTTGCAGAAAGTCATTTTCCTCTGAGGAAACAAATTTCTGAACCTTCTAAAATTTCATGGTCTCGATTGGTTGTGTCATGTAGAATCAAATCTCGATCACTTTCTGGAAACACTGTTGTAAGGTCTGAAAAAATGACAAAAGAATCTTCACAAACTCTTTCAAAATAAAAAAGTCAAAAACAACCAAAATAAAATAGCTGTCTTCACAAGAACACATTGAGCTGTCAAGACCAACCTATCAAAATAAAAGTGAGCCGAGAAGAGATGAACTTGACAGTAATGAAAAAACATATCTATAAATGGCGAATGTATTCCTTAGAAAATGCTCCAGCTCATTTACAAATTAAATCATTTATTACATTCAAAGAAACAAGCACCCTTGAGACCTTTACATCATTTTCTAAATGTGATGAGGAAGCCAAAAACGATTCTCATAATTATTGCCTTCAAACATGAAATATCCCTGAATAAAAAAATTCAAATAGGTTCAAGATAGAAAACTTGCTGGACATACCTTCGTAGAAACAGAAACATCAAGAACACCAATCCACATCCATTCTTAAATCAGTTGAAATAAAAGACCAACAGAAGGAACATGCCAGAGTAAGTTATTTTTCATACTCTGTTCACCTGCTATACAATTCAATTGCTTTTTCGATCGATCCGTGAGAGACTGAAGGGCAACAACCTCTTTGACAGCAGTCAAGGAACACTCCATGATAATTATCATTCTTATAGAATAAAGCAATTTTTCACTTGCAGAAAGTCATTTTCCTCTGAGGAAACAAATTTCTGAACCTTCTAAAATTTCATGGTCTCGATTGGTTGTGTCATGTAGAATCAAATCTCGATCACTTTCTGGAAACACTGTTGTAAGGTCTGAAAAAATGACAAAAGAATCTTCACAAACTCTTTCAAAATAAAAAAGTCAAAAACAACCAAAATAAAATAGCTGTCTTCACAAGAACACATTGAGCTGTCAAGACCAACCTATCAAAATAAAAGTGAGCCGAGAAGAGATGAACTTGACAGTAATGAAAAAGCATATCTATAAATGGCGAATGTATTCCTTAGAAAATGCTCCAGCTCATTTACAAATTAAATCATTTATTACATTCAAAGAAACAAGCACCCTTGAGACCTTTACATCATTTTCTAAATGTGATGAGGAAGCCAAAAACGATTCTCATAATTATTGCCTTCAAACATGAAATATCCCTGAATAAAAAACTTCAAATAGGTTCAAGATAGAAAACTTGCTGGACATACCTTCGTAGAAACAGAAACATCAAGAACACCAATCCACATCCATTCTTAAATCAGTTGAAATGAAAGCCCAACAGAAGGAACATGCCACTGTCAGCTTTTTCCCATACTCTTTTCGACATCGATGCAATATAGTGCGTTTTTCAGTCTCTACTTGAAGAGCTAAGGGGCAACAACCTCTCTGAAGACAGCCCTCGAGGAAACCTTGAGGAAAATTATCATTCTCACAAAATCGAAAAAATTTTCACTTGCAGAAAGTCATTTTCCTCTGAAGAAACAAATTTCTGAATCTTCTAAAATTTCATCGTCTCGATTGGTTGTGTCATGTAGAATCGAATCTGGATCACTTTCTGGCAACACTGTTGTGGGGTCTAAAATATTGACAAAAGGAATCTTCACAAACTCTTTCGAAATAAAAAAGTCAAAAACAACCAAAATGAAATAGCTGTCTTCACAAGAACACATTGAGCTGTCAGGAGCAACCTATCAAAATAAAAGTGAGCCGAGAAGAGATGAACTTGACAGTAATGAAAAAACATATCTATAAATGGCGAATGTATTCCTTAGAAAATGCTCCAGCTCATTTACAAACTAAATCATTTATTACATTCAAAGAAACAAGCACCCTTGAGACCTTTACATCATTTTCTAAATGTGATGAGGAAGCCAAAAACGATTCTCATAATTATTGCCTTCAAACATGAAATATCCCTGAATAAAAAACTTCAAATAGGTTCAAGATAGAAAACTTGCTGGACATACCTTCGTAGAAACAGAAACAAGAAGACTACCAATCCACATCCATTCTTAAATCAGTTGAAATGAAAGTCCAACAGAAGGAACATGCCACTGTCAGCTTTTTCCAATACTCTTTTCGACATCGATGCAGCACAGTGATTTTCAGTCTCTACTTGAAGAGCTAAGGGGCAACAACCTCTCTGAAGACAGCCCTCGAGGAAACCTTGAGGAAAATTATCATTCTCACAAAATCGAAAAAATTTTCACTTGCAGAAAGTCATTTTCCTCTGAAGAAACAAATTTCTGAATCTTCTAAAATTTCATCGTCTCGATTGGTTGTGTCATGTAGAATCGAATCTGGATCACTTTCTGGCAACACTGTTGTGGGGTCTAAAATATTGACAAAAGGAATCTTCACAAACTCTTTCGAAATAAAAAAGTCAAAAACAACCAAAATGAAATAGCTGTCTTCACAAGAACACATTGAGCTGTCAAGACAAACATATCAAAATAAAAGTGAGCCGAGAAGAGATGAACTTGACAGTAATGAAAAAACATATCTTTAAATGGCGAATAGATTCCTTAAAATATGCTCCAGCTCATTCACAAATTAAATCATTTATTACATTCAAAGAAACAAGCACCCATGAGACCTTTACATCATTTTCTAAATGTGATGAGGAAGCCAAAAACGATTCTCATAATTATTGCCTTCAAACATGAAATATCCCTGAATAAAAAACTTCAAATAGGTTCAAGATAGAAAACTTGCTGGACATACCTTCGTAGAAACAGAAACATCAAGAACACCAATCCACATCCATTCTTAAATCAGTTGAAATGAAAGCCCAACAGAAGGAACATGCCACTGTCAGCTTTTTCCCATACTCTTTTCGACATCGATGCAATATAGTGCGTTTTTCAGTCTCTACTTGAAGAGCTAAGGGGCAACAACCTCTCTGAAGACAGCACTCGAGGAAACCTTGAGGAAAATTATCATTCTCACAAAATCGAAAAAATTTTCACTTGCAGAAAGTCATTTTCCTCTGAAGAAACAAATTTCTGAATCTTCTAAAATTTCATCGTCTCGATTGGTTGTGTCATGTAGAATCGAATCTGGATCACTTTCTGGCAACACTGTTGTGGGGTCTAAAATATTGACAAAAGGAATCTTCACAAACTCTTTCGAAATAAAAAAGTCAAAAACAACCAAAATGAAATAGCTGTCTTCACAAGAACACATTGAGCTGTCAGGAGCAACACAAGAAAAAAAAGTGAGCCGAGAAGAGATAAACTTGACAGTAATGAAAAAACATATCTTTAAATGGCGAAAAGATTCCTTAAAATATGCTCCAGTTCATTCACAAATTAAATCATTTATTACATTCAAAGAAACAAGCACCCATGAGACCTTTACATCATTTTCTAAATGTGATGAGGAAGCCAAAAACGATTCTCATAATTATTGCCTTCAAACATGAAATATCCCTGAATAAAAAACTTCAAATAGGTTCAAGATAGAAAACTTGCTGGACATACCTTCGTAGAAACAGAAACATCAAGAACACCAATCCACATCTATTCTTAAATCAGTTGAAATGAAAGCCCAACAGAAGGAACATGCCACTGTCAGCTTTTTCCCATACTCTTTTCGACATCGATGCAACACAGTGGGTTTTTTAGTCTCTACTTGAATAGCTAAGGGGCAACAACCTCTATGATGACAGCATTCGAGGAATCCTCCAGGAAATTATCATTCTTACAGAATCGAGCAATTTTTCACTTGCAGAAAGTCATTTTCCTCTGAAGAAACAAATTTCTGAATCTTCTAAAATATCATGGTTTCGATTGGAAGTGTCATGTAGATTGGTATCTGGATCACATTCTGGCAACACTGTTGTCAGGTCTAAAATAATGACAAAAGAATCTTCACAAAATCTTTCAAAATAAAAAAGTCAGAAAGAACCAAAATGAAATAGCTGTCTTCACAAGAACAGATTGAGCTGTCAGGAGCAACACATAAAAAAAAGTGAGCCGAGAAGAGATGAACTTGACAGTAATAAAAAAACATATCTTTAAATGGCGAATAGATTCCTTAAAAAATGCTCCAGCTCATTCACAAATTAAATCATTTATGACATTCAAAGAAACAAGCATCCTTGAGACCTTTACACTTTCTTCTAAATTTGATGAGGCAGCCAGAAAAACGATTCTCATAATTATTCTCTTCAAAGATGAAATATCCCAGAATTCAATAATTCAAATAAGTTCAAGAGTGAAAATCTGATGTACATACCCTCGTAGAAACAGAAAGAAGAAGATCACCAATCCACATCCATTTTTAAATCAGTTGAAATGAGAGTCTAATAGAAGGAACATGCCACTGTCAGCTATTTCCAATGCTCTTCTCGACATCCATGCAGCACAGTGATTTTCAGTCTCTACTTCAAGAGCTAAGGGGCAACAACCTCTATGATGGCAGCAGTCGAGGAATCCTCCAGAGAGTTATCATTCTTACAGAATCGATCAATTTTTCACTTGCAGAAAGTCATTTTTCTCTGAGGAAACAAATTTCTGAATCTTCTAAAATTTCATGGTCTCGATTGGTTGTGTCATGTAGAATCGAATCTTGATCACTTTCTGGAAACACTGTTGTAATGTCTAAAAAACGACAAAAGAATCTTCACAAACTCTTTCAAAATAAAAAAGTCAAAAAAACCAAAATGAAATAGCTGTCTTAACAAGAACACATTGAGCTGTCAAGACCAACATATCAAAATAAAAGTGACTCGAGAAGAGATAAACTTGACAGTAATGAAAAAACGTATCTTTAAACGGCGAATAGATTCCATAAAATATGCTCCAGCTCATTCACAAATTAAACCATTTATTACTTTCAAGAAAAAAGCATCAATGAGACCTTTACATCATTTTCTAAATGTGATGAGGAAGCCAAAAACGATTCTCATAATTATTGCCTTCAAACATGAAATATCCCTGAATAAAAAACTTCAAATAGGTTCAAGATAGAAAACTTGCTGGACATACCTTCGTAGAAACAGAAACATCAAGAACACCAATCCACATCCATTCTTAAATCAGTTGAAATAAAAGACCAACAGAAGGAACATGCCAGAGTAAGTTATTTTTCATACTCTGTTCACCTGCTATACAATTCAATTGCTTTTTCGATCGATCCGTGAGAGACTGAAGGGCAACAACCTCTTTGACAGCAGTCAAGGAACACTCCATGATAATTATCATTCTTATAGAATAAAGCAATTTTTCACTTGCAGAAGTCATTTTTCTCTTAAGAAACAAGTTTCTGAATCTTCTAAAATTTCATGGCTTAGATTGGTACTGTCGTGTAGATTGGAATCTGGATCACTTTCTGGCAACACTGTTGTGATGTCTAAAAATATGGAAAAATATATTAAGAGTCTCTTCAAAATGTGAAAAGTTATATACCAAGAAAGAGACTAAACTTTTTGGGTGGAAGACATATAGAAAAAAGGTCATCTCAACTGTGAAAATATTATGTCTCGAAATGACAAATATATTACCAAAATACATTCGGTTTTAACATCCTGCTGTACTCAATTTCATATCCACAAAAACACAAAAAGTACCAATCCACATCCATATACATAAACCAGTTGAAATAGAAGTCTAACAGAAGGGTATGCCATGTTAAGTCATTTCCCGTAATATTTTAGCCCTCTTTGTGATACAATGGCCTTTTCTGTGTCTATGTAATTAGTAGAAGTGAAACAAGGTATTTGATGACAGCATTCAAGGAATGTTGAAGAACTAGGACCATTTTTCCTTTTTTGTGTTTGTATTATCATGATCTAAAAAAGTTAAAGAAATCTAAACAAACCATTTGCAACTTGAAAAAGTCAAGGTATAAAGATAAACAATGTCAAGGTATCAGGATAAACATGTTAAGATAAAAATTTAGTGGTGACAGGGACCACGCCTTCTTAGGAAAGGCATGCGATCACACTCGCATCTGCTGGTACATGCCTCCCTACACCAAGGAGTGTGTTAAATCGCATGCTCTTTTTGTGATCAAAGCGCTGGAAACTAATAAGGTGACAAAAAACAAGAAATTGCTTTTTATGTGCTTTTTATTTTGATGTGCTTTACCAGCCTTGCCTACCCTACTGGGTCATCATAATCATTTTGAAGAGCTGTTGTGACAACACTTTAATGCAATCAAACAAGGACCAAATGACTGTAACATCAGAGCTAGAAGTAGCCCTGTAAATTTCATTTTCACTTCTATTGCTGCAAAAACCATTATTTTATGACAATTTGCAATCATCTTCTAACCCAGTGCTTGTAAAAACTAAGTCGCATTTTTCATCATAGACCTGTGTTAGCATGTTTTCAAAATACTATTTTCAGAAGGTAAATTAAGTTGAAATTTTAAACAAAAGGCTTCCAGTTTAGACACAATTTGTGCCGTATTTGTTCTGATCTACACTCGTAAATTGGGCGTCATCAGCAAGAAAAGTAAAGGGGTCACAAAGGAGCTTGTCATATTTTTTAAATGGGGCAACGATTACATTTTAGGCTATACTATTTAAGTCTATGACAATAAGCAATATGTAACAAATATTTGGTGCCTGTTGTGTGCTAAATATCAGATCATTAGGCACCCATCATCCTTAGGAGCTGCAGTTTAATTTGAAAGCCTTTGTCAATGGCCCCTTGCTGGAAAGCAGGCCTGGCTGTTTCTATTTGTATAGGTGAGCTGTGAATCGCTCCCCTCATTTGCTGAGGCAAGCTAAATCAGTAGCACATAGAAGGTATTTTAAAGACAATCAAAAGATGACTTAAGCCCCTTTAGTATCTGTTGGTTGCCTTTAATAGCCTCAGTCAGGAGTATGCTGTTTTATTTCTTTCAATTTGTATTTGCTTTAACCGTGACTTAGGTACCCCCTTTACTTAAAGTATTTAAAAGAACAGGATTCTCTGAATAGGAAAAGAGCAAATGAATGGAAATTTTAGAAGTGCGATTCTCCCTTCATGTTCTGTTTAGGAGAGCAATTCATAGCTTGCCTCAAACGACGAGGCCTGTGGAAAGCTCACTATCTGTGAGCTATTGGTTTTATGCTAGTGATCTCAGTATCCAGTTCCTACCGCAAGATGGGTTAAAATTTTGGTATTAAATTTAGTAAAGATCCCTGGCAATATTCATAAGCTTTCCTTAATCGTTATTCCATCAGTGATATTCATTGTTAAAGTTGTGTGAAAATTGAAGAAATGACTTAAGAATGAGGATTTTTAAAGCTCCAAATACTATGTAATTAAACTTTTGTAGAAATAAGGCAAAACACCAACAGCATTTCATCGCAAGCCTAAAACAGTCTAGGGGTGAGAAATGCCACAATTTATTCCCAGGAAGGCCTGGAGACCAATACAACATTCCTATAAAGGATACATAAATTTTTGCAAGAAATAATTTGGGCTCATCATATTCAGATTAAAAACATTTAATAAACTTCTCAATCAAATACAAGTAGCATTGTTTTCAGATAAAGAAAGGTGGTGGTATAAAAAAGTAAACATTTATATCACAATTTTATCAAGTGATGAGGGATTTGCCTGCGATTCTGAAGGCTCCCAAAACCAAATATATATTTGTTTAAATAGAGATCTTTAAATGCTCTTTATTTTTCAAAATAGAAATAAAAATTAAATTCCAATGACTAGAATGCAAAGCATTTTGTGTATCCTCAACACTCAAAATTTTCTCTGAAAAAATTATCATTTTATATATAAGCAAGCCAATTTTTCAAGCAAACTTCTTTTTCCATAGACTATAGAAATGTATTTTGCTGAACTAAAAAAACTTACATTGGCATTGCCAGCCATAAAATCTTCCAAGGGAGGAGATATTGTGCCTACCTAGAACTGGCTTGAGTATGTACATCCATGCCAGCCTTGTGAAGGCTGGATTTATTTAAGGGTTGTTGAATGACTTTCAGTTGGAAAGATGGTCATGACAATTGGACTAGGGGTCCCATATCGTCCCTCCAAAATTTGGTCCTTTTTAAGAAAAAACCAAATTGCATTTTAAAAATGACATTTTATTAAAAGTATCTTCACCACAAGATAAACAAGGACCTATTTGAAACAAAAATCTTTCTTGAAAATGGGGGGGGGGGCAAACAAGGGGTCAACGCCCCCTGAGCTCCATGGCTTTGCACCCTTGATGCTAAGAATGTATATAGTTGTAAAGGGTGAGGGAACTGAGCTGTAAATGTCAAAAAGTTGACCGTTTCTTGGCCTACTTGCCCTTGCACCTTTTGTTTTCATAATTTTTGCAGAAGAAACAACCCTCCTCCTCCCTGTTTTGTCAGTTTCGTTTTGTTTCAAGCTGGCTTTTCTTTTTGAAACCGATCGGAGCCGAACGATATGATTATGTACATATTTGTTATTAACACATACCTGTTTTTAAATGCCCTTCAAACGACTGGCGGTGGTCTTTTTCTCAGTTTTCTACCAAATGCACGTGCGCGGGTAATCTCTGCAACACCGTCTTTTCCATTACTTCTGCAAGTAGAAACAATAATTTAATTCAAAAAACTTGGAAACACGATAAGATATGTCTTTAAAGTTTTGCAATGGCAAGAAACATTAAAATAACTATTATCTACACACCTTACATTACACGTGTATATATATATGATAAATTTCCGAACATGTCGCCATTTTTTCATAGCATCCTCCTTTTTTGCAGTGGTTGCTGGGATAGCCTCCTCCTCAGGCAATGAGTTCACTTACAGCTTCATAAACGAATGTCCAAAAGCATAACTATTTTAATAAATGAAATAAAGGCGTAGACTGAACTGAGCAAGCAAAGGTTTGCATTTCATGCATCTTTTTTGTAGAAGTCATTACCGACTTGAGTTAGAGCGATAGGTAGGACCTTATACTAAAATAATACAATGTAAAAGATAGAAAATAAAAGTTTAGTGGCCATGGCTTGTACAGGGACAAGCAGCATTATTCCAAAGAAAATCCAAAGAACTCTTTATATTTAAACAACATTTATACAATAATGTCAGGTGTTTTTAAATGCATTGGACTTTTGATAAAATATTGTTGGAGGTTTTTTGCAAGAGGCTATCCCAAAACTTGGGTGATATAGAATGATGAGCCAAACTTTAAAGAGACAATTACAACTTTTTGGCATGACTAGCAAGAAGCTATATGTGATTTTGTTTCAGTTTTAGTTTTATCGTGTGAACATCTACTCTCAGGTTTGCTTTTAGTTGCAGCAGCTCCAAATACTTCAATACCCTAAGAAAGAACACAAATACTTCTCTTGGCCCACGTTATCATCTTCAAACAGATGAGTTATTTTCCATGTTCTAAAACAGGGATTAATTTAAGAGTTTTTTGGACGAGCACGGCTAAGCTAAATGTGACGACAAGTCCAGAATTTCGTTTATAACCCTGCATAATATACAGGGAATTTCGCATAACCATCTAGCAAACTGCCTAAACAAAGTTTTTAGAGTTTAAGTTATGAAAGTAAAGGCCACTGATCATTTTGAGTCTTAGGTACATTCCGTCATATGACCGGAAGCAATGTTTAAGAAAGCGTGAAAAATGCACGGTCAGCAAAATTTTTACCTTCGAATTTTTCAAATCTGATGATTTCATCAGAAAGATCTTGCAAAACTGAGTAAAAAATACTAAAACATTGTTTCCTGGCATAATTTGACGTGCTGAATAGAACAAGATGCAACTCTAACTTTAAAACATTACAAAAAGCTACTTTTAGACTTTGGTACTTGCGTTTTCTTGCCCTACGACTACGACGTATATGCTCGGAAGATGAAACCTACAAATTCCGAACAAGACAACTACTACAATACTTGACAAAACGAGGTTACAAAACAAAACAGACACGCAAACAAATACGAAGGACTGCCTGAAAACCACAAAACAACGTAATAATCACAGAACACCATTTGTTGTCACCTATCCCCCTTCTTTGCCACAGCTATCTACCATCCTCAAACAAACCATCAACATATTCAGTGTCATCGGAACGAAATTCATATTGGGGGGAGGGGGGGGGCTGCCCATTGTTTTCCTTCTCATTCAGTACACTGTTGTAAAGGAAATATACTACAGCTTGACAATTATTGGGGGGGCTCAAGCACCATCCACACTTCATCCCCATTACATTTTCATTCCACCACCACCATCCACCCTCTCTCATTCGCCACCCTTCCCTCCTCCACCACTGCGCTGCATTCACACCATTCCACATAAGCCAATCCGACACCACCATCGCCTCTTTTAAATGTGTACATTTTTAGCCCATAAACTTTTGCTCTGATGAAGCCCCGTATGCCGGGGCGAAATATTAGCCTTCGCTGATTTACGTGTATTTATTGTTGTTTATTCTTGGCGTACTATTCTATTAACACGAGAGTAAATTTTTAAAGACACATTATTTTCGACCAATTTTTTCTGAGGCTGGGCATGTTAGGCAATTACATATCAAAGCCCTTAGATAGTTCCGTGTTTTCCCTTCTTCAATATTTCTTTTTCTTTACATATCAATATGTTTTTTTCTTCAAGTTTTTTCTACTTTTTCCTTTTCCTCTTTTTGCTACCATTAATGCTTTGCTAATATCAATATTGATTTCTTATTACTAAAGTTTTTAATGCTTGTAAAATCTTTCTTGTTTGTCGATAACACGGCGCTGAGCTCGAAAACTGTTTCGGTTCTCTCAGCGTCCAGCGCGTTAAGAATAGCGATAAAACAAAGATAAGGTTCATTAAGAAAGGAAGTTTTGGATTTGGAAGAATATATAAAACATAAAAATGGACCAACGTTACTAAAATTTAAACTAAACATGACCTATTTAAAAGCTAATTACAAAGGAAAGTATGATAATATAAGTTGCAGAAGGTGTAGATTACATAAAGAAAACTTAGAACATTTATGGCAATGCGAAAAGTTCAAAAGACACCTTCCAGGAATGGAACAAATTTTTAAAAGCAAAGCAAAAGGTCTGATAGAAATCGAAAGATTGGTTGAACTTTTTCAAACTTAAGTGAAAATTAGCCTGTGGTACTATACTGCACATGACGTCTTTCCTGGCAATTCTGTGTTTGTGGTAAAGTAACTGCTCCGAAACGGAGATTTGGCGAGATATATTATTATATTATTATATTATCATTATAAAAAGTCATTTATCATTATAAATTTTGCTATTTCATTATATATATTCAATGCTATGCCATCATCCTTGTAATCAAAAATGTGTTGCTGAATTAAAAGAATTTGAATTTTGCTATTTGTTACAGAAACTCGTTCCTGGATTTGATGTCAATTGTACCTTTTGTCCAAATATTTGGTTGATTTATAAATCACACTGATCTGGACGGGTACATACCATGCAGTTTATAGCAGAGCGTTGCCTAAAAAGAGCGTGGTCCAGAGAAAATCTCTAATCTTAGGGTGGCTAGCACTATCATTTTACAAGATCACGCTAAAATGATGAAAACTGCTCCCATTTTCCCCTTCTATTGCTCTAACTCTGCCTGCACCACAGACTGCATAATTAAATTAACATCAAGAGTTGCTTCCTTCTTTTCTGGAAGGATCAACAATACAAAAGCTGATCTTTTTCAATACCTCGAAAATGCCAGAATGAAGAGAAGGTTGTTGCACTTCCTCTTCTTCTTTATTATTTTTTATATTTTGAAAGAGACCTTCAGCAGAAAAAGGCTTCTTAATAGAGAAAAGGCTTTAAATCCGGAATAAACATCACTTTTCCTGACAAAGTGGTACTTACTGACAAAGGGGGCACATTTCTGACAAATGGGACATTTTTTATATTAATGGGCATTATTTTAATCTGGAAAAGATAGGGCTAGAGCTTTTCTGGGTCCCCTCAGCTCCTACGTCTATGGATTGGATCATTCCTGTGGCAAGATGTACTGTTTGCGTTTAACTCAATGCCTATTAGAAGTTTTTTTCCCTCTATTTAGTTTCACTAAAATGATCTACTTGTTTGATTATGCTGTTTGAACGTTCCTTGAACGATTTTACTTCATTTCAAGTTACTCTTGATCAAAGGCCTACCGAAGGACCTTTGAATAAAAATAATGTAGGTGGGGGGGGGGGGGGGGTCTTATATTGAAAACTTCCGAAGGGTTGTGATTGAAAGTTTAAGAATGTATGAATCTCTTTATTAAAACCTAGCTGTATATTTAAGCAGGCGCGGATCAAGAGCGAATTTGAAGGAGAGGGAGTTGGAAGTGGGGGCGCTGAAAAATTTTCAAAAACTGGTTACGAGAGTACACTGTATACAACAATTTCAGATACCTTTTCAGAATAAACAACATAACTTTGCGATAATGTATATTTTGGTTTATGAAATATGTGTGGATGATAAATGGTCCTAAATTGAAATTAATTCAACCCAATCAACCTCTGCAATGGGATGTTATTCCAGAATAGTCTTTACTCCAGAATAAAATATTTTTTTGGAGAACTCTTAGTTCAACCGATTTTCAGATCTAACAAATTTCTCGCTGAATAGTTCGATAACAGAAATCTGGGAATAAGTCTCCCTTTTAGACTGTCCAGGCAGAGACCATTCACTATCTTATAGATCATTACTGCTCTGTCATATTGCAATATATTTGAGACTGACAGCCAATTGCATCTCCACCCATCCTTTAAGCTAGAGTTCTTTATCAAAGTTTCAGCTCTAGTTTGTAGACGTTGAGGATGTTGGAGCTAATTGCTCGATAAATTGCCCCATAGTTCGTCACTGTAACTCAGATGACTTTTAAACAGTGCCTTATAAACCTGGTCGTGTTTAGACTGAGTTAGAATATTCTTCAGTTTCTGGAGGGACGAAAGGGCAGTTTTAATTTTACATTTGAGCTTTTTATAATGCTCATTCCATGTTAGGTTTTTGTCGGCAGTAATTTCAAGGTATCTGACTTTCTTGGCTTTCTTGATTGCTTCTCCTTTTATGCTTATGTCTATTGGTCTAAGGGTGTGTTTGGTGTTTCGCTTGTGACCTACTACCATATACTCCGTTTTATCAGTGCTCAAACTAAACTAATTCTGCTGTAACCATTATGCAATATATTCAACCTCAGCTTTTAGATCATTGCAGAGAGGTCCTCGATATCGGCGTTACAAGTTACACTGGTATCACCCGCATACATATTTGAGGTGCATTTGTTAAGAAATTGTTCGAAGTCATTGACATACAGAACGAAGAGGAGAGGTCCCAAGCACGAGCCCTGTGGAATACCACAGTGAACAGGTTTTAGGCTGGTTTTTAGTCATTTATTTGACAGTATTGCTTTCTGTTGGTCACGAGTCCCTGCTATCTCGTATTTATTTAGCTTTGAGAGGAGAATTTCGTGGTGTACCGTACCAAATGACTCACTGGAATACAGATAGTATAGATATTGACCTATAATTATTCATGTTGTTCTATCTTCCATATATCTGGAAGATTACCCATTTCAAATGAGGAGTTGAATATTGCGGCTAGTGGCTGACTTAAAATTTCTGCTGCATCTTTTAGTAACTTTACAGAGACTTTGTCATATCCTGCAGATTTGGAGCATTGTAACTTTTTTATTTCATTCTATAGTTTTTGGGTCAACTGGCTGAAATTCGAAGCAAGAGGATGTATATGTTTCACTTAAAGTTAAGTATTTTAGTGGGTCATCGGATTCCTTAGTTTCTATTTTTTTCTGCAAGTTTTTGGCCAATAGTATTAAAATGCATATTAAATGTTTCCGCATTTTCATTTGGCTTTTCAACCAGCAGATACTCGAACATAATGGTTTCGGGGGTTGTAGAGGACTTTGTTAATCGTTTTCAACATCTTCTTAGGGTTCTTGGAATTCTCATCAATCATGTTGCGATAGTAGCATTCGACAGCTCTTCGGAGTTCACTGGTTCCCTTGTTCCTAAGTCGTTTTTATTCTGGCCATATTAAGCGGTCTTTTTCTGCTCTTTTCTTAGCCCGGTGCCCCGGTCTCCCTCGTGTATCAAATTTTTGATACTGGGAGAGATCCAGGGAGAGGGTGCATGCTTCGTGATACCTTTCCGTGTTTTAATGGAGCAGGCACATCCAATATCGACTGAAAAAGATCGCAAAAGTTATTTGCCATTATATTGTGGTCAACACAGGCGCTAGACGCAGCCATTTCCCAATCGACACCCTATAGAAAAGCTTCCCTATCATTGTTTTTAATGTTATGAAATTCAGTTTGATTCATTTTTGCCTGAAAATTGATATTAAGTTTTCTTATGCTTAGGATCATATAATGATCTGTCATACCGATTTTTATGACGCCAGTGTATTATTTGGTAGGTTTGTGGAAAAGTGATCGATTACTGTTTTGGTTGTACTAATGTCTCCACTGGAGCTTATGGTAGTCGCTACTCTTGTAAATTCTGTGATTAGCTGGTCCAATTGAGATTCTGAATAGACAAGTTTTAGTTTCCTTGTGTTACAGTCTTTTAGCTTTTTACAGTCATAATTTGTGTCATCGACAAGTATGATTTCCATGCCTTCTGCGTCTAACAATCTTATAATTCTTGCCAAAGCCTCGAAGGTGGAAAGCACGATGTAATTTGTTGCGTGCTTGGGAGTTACTTCAATCCCTGCAACCTCTAAATTGGCGTCACAAATGTCCTCTCTTTTATCATACCGGTCATGTGCTTCCATTTTTCTAATTGGCCAATTTCGATCCACAATCGGGTTTATATTTTCCACCTTTTATTTTCCGTATTTTTCTCTTATTGATTAAGGCTTGCTACAATATGGTAATCACAAGCAGACGTAATCCTGAATCAAAAGAACTTTGCTGCGCCGTAAAGCCAGCTCTGGTCTCGGGGTTGTTCATGAAAATTTTCTGTGACCATGCCCTTCCAATATACAAAAACAAAAAGAGCGATAAGCCTCTGTAAAGTTAAGCAACAACATGCTCGTCAAAACTAGCCTGTGTGCAGTCTCGGCTATGGGAAAAGTAATACAAATTAATACAGCCCAAAAAGGATAAATTAATACAAATTTAAATTCACTTATCCGGGCAATTTTTATTTTCATATTTGGCAAAAATGGATCATAGAATTTGAATCTTCATCTTGAAATTAGTCTGTGCTGATAATTTCGATTTGTTTGGGCCGTCAGATACCGAATTAACCCATTTTTAAGATTTAGCTTTTCCTATACATTTCAATGCAATTTGTTGCTGCAGTGAAATTTTTTCACTGCAGCAGCAAATTCCGGTCAAATCTAAAGAAATATCTAATTATTCAAAACAAGGTAGCTCGCGACCGAACGGTCCAAAAAACATGATTTTTTCAGGATAAATTAATTTAAAGATGAAGATTTCAATTCTCAAGTCCATTTCTGAGAAAGATCAATAGATAGCGAGATACAAAATCAATGACGTCAACCCGGAACGGAGAAAAGTATTGTTGTTTTAAATCATATAAGTAACGATTAATTAGCAATTAAATAGCCTTACTAATCAAAACGCCTTTGGGATTTTGATGTGAATATACTGTAATGTGGTATAGCATACCATGAATCCAGAATGTTTCAGAATCAATGAAATGATCAGTTGTACTGCTGTCATACGTCTGGATCTGCTTTTCAGGCAAACAGCTGCTGCCATACAGACAGCTGGAGTGAAAAAGAGGTCATCACCCTTCTTTTTACTTTTACACCAACTGACTGTCATCAGCATGGATCTTGTTAGAGGGGCTCTCTCTTGCAGCTCGTTGTCCAGGCCTTCAAGTGAGAAGTTACAAATCGCTTCCTTGTCAGTAAGTCCAAGGGAGCTAGCCGCTTCAGATGCTTGTTTACAGTCAGGTTTTTCTTTTGAAATCTTGAAAGCACGATTTGATTTGTCAGGCTTTTCTTTAGCAACACACTGTTTAACGCACTCCTTATCAATCTCTTTAAAAACCAGTTCAATCAAGTGAGCTCACAAATTTTGGTGGCGCCACACAGAACCAGCTAACTGCTTGTATGTTCCACGGCACAGCATAGAACCAACTGATATAAGGTAGAACAGTCGGTCTAGTTTTATCTAATGCTCTAGTTCCATCTTCAGGTGTAGCCACAGAAGCAGTTGCGTAAGAGATATTTCTATTGATACCAGAAGGTTCTATTGGTGTGCTTGTAGGGACAAACGATTACTCTGACGAAAAACTGTGACGGAGCGCGTTGAACTGACTCTCAGAAGCAGCTGATTTTGCGGGGCGTGGCTCAGCATTTTCTTCACCAGAAAAACCAACAGCGAAGAGTGCTCTTTTATAAGATTTTTCCTTAACTACAAATCCACGTTTCAAAGCTTCGGATTTGTATCTCTCAACAACTTCAATCTGCAATTCAGCTAATTTCATTCGAAAACAAGGAATGTGTTTTAAAATACGAAGAAAACCCTACAGACATAAGACTTTGGGGTGCATGGAATCAAAACATCCTCCAAGAGTTCCAATGCTTCCTTCACATTAAATTTCCCCTTCCCTTCCACCAAATTGAAGTCCCAACATTTACTTTTGTCGATATCCGTAAAACATAGGATACAATACATTTTCCTCTTCCATCAGTTCGCGCCTAGAATTTTACCAACACCGCTCAAAGGAAAACAACTGACAAAAAATAAAACCGTACGCGGGCGTTGGCATTACGCTGCGGCACAAAATAGGAAATCTAGCGCATGCATTAACTTATACGAGGCTTAATTTATCTGTCGGTGAAATTTAAAAAAAAATGAAAATAGACAACTTTATTTGAGAAGAAATGTCCCATGATAGCGAACAAATTCAATTATATATCATAATTCGTTTATATCTGATTAATTATTGATAATTTCTAATGGCTATGTTCGTCTAATGAAATCGAGGTTAGAGGGGAATTAAGGAATTCTTTTGTTGACTCAGGCTTCAAAAACAACAAAGGACCCACTGAGATCAGTGAAAGGACCCGACGAGAGTTACCCTTCTGCCTATTTCCTATTCTGTGGCTGCGGCTCATCAAATGGAAGGGAGGCTGGACAAGCTTTCTGATTTTGTTGCGCGGACTCTACTATTTCACGTAGGAAATTTTTAGAGTCTGCACGCAGGCTAGTCAAAACAGATAATATCATCAAATGTGTTGCAAACTGATTCAAAACATTTCGATTGCACATTCATATAATGGACATGTCCAACCCACTTTTTAAGATCAATTTTCTAACTTTTCCAATGCTGGACTAAAAACATAAGGGGGGGGGGGTGTATCTTTCATATCTTTTTCTTATCTTTCATTGAATCTTTTTCTTCCATTATGATGATAATTTACGGTTCTTCTTCAGATCTTAGCTGACATAGTGTGTTAGATCATCATTTCCGTAAATAGTAAGAAGATGATCTACAAAACACAGCTTTATCGTGCTAAAAAGTTGATTCTTAGAGTGTGGTTATTGCTTTCCTTTCTTGTTAAAGGTTTTTAGCAATAATTAGCTTTAAAACTTATACCCAAACATTTTTTAAGCTGTAAGGATAATAAAGTTGCACCCCTTTATCAGCTCCTCCCCTTCATTGTCCACCCTATTATTTAGAAATGAATATTGTAAAATAACTTTTTAGCAAATATTAACATTGTCCCCATTTGAGGGCATTTCCACGCCCTAAAAAGGGTAAAATGATGTAGAAAACTATTGAAAAGCTTACAAAATATAATACAATTTATAAAATTGCGTTTTTCTTAATGATATTCGTCTTAGTGATAATTGTTGATATTTTTGCTAGGGTTTCATTTTGCACCCATTTTGGGGGCAAATAGCCCCATATCTCATAAACGGCCCCTCACCTGGCTAAAGAATAATAAAATTCGGATTCTACACCCCAACATTGACCATTATATTCTGGTCTTGCAAATTGTCCTCTCTTGGTGGTAATACTACCCTTTCTGCTACCGGACTATGTAACTTACACACCAAAACAGTGTTGACTACCGGAACATTATCATTTTAACGCACCCAGATCTTTTAATTCCTTAACCCCCTACCTCTTGCTCACCCTGATACTACTGATTAGTGGTGCAAATTGCAGGGGTATTTGTTGGCTAACTGCTCTCTCTACTGTTTTTGAACAAAAGTTGGGTTTGAATTGTCCCGCGGAACGTGACGTACCGCGGATTCTCGTGTCTATAGATATGATACACCTTCATTCTGACCGGAGGGAAGTCACTACAATGCCCGTCGAGAGGCCAGACTCGGAAAATACCAAGATTAAAGGTAGCAGTAGCGATCGCCGTTCATTATTTGGGTCAGTGTTATAAGGATGGGTAGGTGGCACAGTGCTTAAGTCTTTGTTGTTGCAAGTTTGGAGGGGTTTTTAGTTTTTCTCGGTAAAAAATCCCTCAGGAAAAATTTTGGCCTAATTTGTGGCCTATTTTTTCGAAATTAAAAACTGGCTCGTTTATTTCACTCAAATTATAGTGTTCAGTGTCATATTTTCCATATTATTTGCACAAAAACAATGAAAACAAAGTTTACGGCCAGTAATCTAAATCGGACAGTGTTTATGATTTTATAATTAAGGTGTAAATTGTTATGATATAAAGATGTAGAGATCATTTTGTATCGATTTTGGTGAGAACTACCTGTCTAGCAGATCATTCCCTTTGTTCCACTATCTTGCTAATTTTTATTTTGTTTATTTTTAAGATGCTCAGACAGAAGACAGCATTTCTGGACAATCAGCTACAGAATATGCAAAAATAAACGAACTCATTGTTAGTCTCAGCAAAGCTCAACATGATCTCAGTATCTGTCAGAAAAAGAATAGGAGTCTTAGAAATGAGTTAAAGTTGTGGAAGGGGAGAGCATCAGAGGCTGAGGAAAGCCTTAAAGAAGAAAAAAGAAATAACCAAAGCAATATAACACAGCTTGGATTCAAAATGCTGCAGTTTGAAAATGAACTTCGAAGGGAACAAAGGGATATAGAGCACAAATTCATAGAAAAAGATCAGCAAATCAAAATCCTGCAAGATGTTATCAGTTCTCTTCACAGCAAGATGAAGACAAATAGTCTATGCTACAATTGTTTTTTGACCAAGCATTCCTCTCAAGATCAAAGCACCAGTCAAGATAGTTACATTGCAAAGTTCCCATTAGATATGGACTTTCATGACCATAAGAGTACCGGACACACTGGGCATGAAAGTAGGAATCGTAATATTTCATTACCACTGAACATTCAGAGTCCACATGAAAGTCCAAGGGCTAATGGTGAGTTTTGTTTCCACCACATGTTGTCGCCTGTACCTGAGGAGTTAGAGAACAGCTTTATTGAACATGCAAGGAGGGAAAATCTTCAGATGACTATAGAAGAAGAGGAAGAGGAAGATGAGGAAGAGACTGACAAAGAAGTTAAAATTGAAGAAAAAAATAAAAGTGGAAAACTAGAAGAAAACATAGCAAAAAACCCTGCATGTTCTGTAGAACTAGAATCAAAATCTTCTGGCGAAAGCATACAAAGTCTTAATTTGGAAGAAGAAGGGTTAAATGATGTTACACGAAAACAGGACCAAATAATGTCACATGTAATCAACAACCCAAATGATATCCCTATTGATGAAGATGAAAACATTGAATCAAATGACCAATATACTAAAAAAATCACAGATGATGTTTCAGGATGCCTGGACAGCAATGACAATGTATCATTTGACATCAAATTGCTACTAGAAGAGTTGATAAGAAATGTAGAATTAATTCAAAGTAATGTTGGATCTAATGAATTTATGAATGATATTAAAGAAGAAACAGTGGGAGAAGAAAATGAGCAAGAATCAATTGACAAAATGGCTCTTAGCCCAAAATCAGAAGCTCTAGTTGCTGAGCTGAAGAGAGCTATTGTTGAAGCCAGTATGGAAGTTGAAAAAGCCACAGACAATCCTGTTTCAGACAGCTTAGGGATTTCAAATTGTTCAAGCCAAGCGCAAGAAGATAGAAGTGCTGACAGTGCTGACACAAGCTTGGTTGGTATTGAAGAAATTGATTTTGAATTGTCTTCTGTTGCTCTCTGAATAAAAGTAACACTGACCAAGCTGCAGACACAAATCCTTTACAGCAAGCTACTCAACAAACTCAAATGAAAGATAGCTCAACAAACTCACAAAACTGCCAAGATACTTTAACTGACTATGATGTGATTGAGCTTGATTAGAATAAGTAGTTATTGGTAAATATCCAGAGATAGTAAATTTTGTACTCTTGCTCATTTTTCAATAGAATAATTGTAACATAGTAATTCAGTAATAATATGAACAATAAGTTTTATCTTGGCCATGTTAGTAGTTAGGTGAGTCATTTGTTTCGCATATTTTTGTCCAAGTAATCAAGAAAAAGCTACTGTAGATGTTAATTTTACTAATATTGTCTCCAAGCTAGTCTTCAAATTTTGCTGTTGTAACTTTAAGCAGAGTTTTAACTGTAAGCATAAGTTTGTTGAATATTTTTGCATAGTCTGGTTCCAAGTTTTGAATCACTTTTGTTGGTTATTTTTATGAGAGGGGGCTTTAAGAGTCAATTGTCACTGTAGTCTTGCTTGAATAGTCATATTGTAGAATACCAGTGTTATTTTATAAGTAAATTGAACAAAGTATGTATCCAAGTATGTCTTTAACTGAGCTGTCAAGCAGATACTTGTACAAAACTACAGCAACTAGCAATGCAAAATATTTGAGACGTTTAGGAGGCCTTAATCTGCAGTTTTGCACTAGCCAGTTTTATTGGTTTTAGGATGCAACAGCATAATAATCCTTTGATTGAGTTCCATATAAAGATCCTTGTGAAACTGTAGTGTATTAGTCATCAACTAACGAAATAAATTACATGGTGGTTTAGAATCAATGTATTACATGCTTGAATGTCAACTCCAATTTTCTATTCAGGTTCATAATGCAATTTCTCAAAACGAATTGGGTAACTGATTGAGACAAATTTCTGTCAAAGATAATGCTTTAGAACTTGGTTTTTTACATACAAAAACTCAGATATCAATTATTGTTAACATTATATGTAACACAGCATTCTGAGAATGAAAATATAATTTTTGAATAAAAAGTTATTAATGAAGCCTTGTAATCTGATAGGAAGGCAACTTATTGTTCTGGTAATGGACATTATTTGCTATTCCAAGTTCTCTCTGACATTCTAAAACACAGAAGACTATTTTTGTGTGCAAAATTGGCTGCAACAAACACTTACTCAATTAACAATTATCCCCAGTAAGAAACTGTTAAAAATATGATAATAATAATTCACCATCGCCTACAGATAATGTATTAACATTGAAATTCTATGGAAATAGACTCACAAAAATAGTACAAGCCTGCACTTGTTTGCAAGTGTAAAGAAATTGGAGCACTTTTCAGTATTCTTTCTTATAGAACCTTAATAATTATGATAAGAATAAAGACAATCACAGATCTTGGTTCCACAAAATTCAAAAACATGTTTATCCATACTTGGCCACTTTCCTGAGTTTGCAAGTATAAATAGAAAGGGTTTTCTTCATATACAAATGAAACAATAACCTATTAACTGAGAATGCTTTGGGTAGAGGGGTTATCCCTGATCAATATTTTGCTTAAAGGAGGGCCACTGTAAGACTTTTTGGTAGTTGGAGGCCTCAAGGGTGGCTGTATATCAGCCAACCTGTACAAGGTTCAACTGATTCTCTACACATTGGAGGACTGGCATCCCTGAAATGGCATGATATTTTTAATACCATAATTTAGCTAATCAAATCTGTTCTGTTTTTTTTAACATGAAAATATTTTCTTTTACACTGATTTTCTTCTTCTACTTTTCATCTGAGGCAGTTTGTGCTCTTCTCTTCTGTTGTCCTTATTTTTGGCAAATTGAGCCTTGGTGTCCTTATAATGCGCGTTTTTATAAAAACAAATTTAAATTAAGCATTGCCACCAGGTTTTTGCTGTCAAAATTGACTTTGCAAATGGTTTGCTCCACAAGGGGAACATAAACAAAGTGAAAATGCATTAAACAGTAGCCAGGGGTGTAGTACTAGAGGGCTTCAGGGGGCTTGTTAATGCCGAAAAGTAGGCAACTTTTGCTATTGCTTTTGGCAACGTTCTAAGCAAGAGCAATTGCGGAAAGTGTCTTTTTGAGATTGACGTACTTTTGGTCAAACATTCGATAAATAAACCATTTCTATAATAACAAGTGATATATGTATACCTACACGCTCTTAGCGCTCTTATCATAGAGAAACTATCATTATGCTACAAGAACAAACGTTTCAATTGCATGGTTCTTGAATATATTTGCTGACCTCATCACATTAAAGTATGTTTGGCAGTTGTGGGTTCTCAGGTGGGTGTGACTAAAATTCTTTTCCTGTTTCAGCCTGAGCCAGGATTGTTTTGTGAAGTCAGACCGGTCCAGTAGAGATCCAACCATGCAGGGTGAAATATTTAGGTCAAATTTACTTGTACGAGTATGTACTTGTACGAACCTTAGGTATAAAACATGTGACCAACAAAACACAGCAGGCAGAACGAGAACAAACGAACAACTTTACATTAACGGGGAAAAAAAAATTTCAGAGCTGAATTACAACGTTAAAACTCTATAAGCGAAGACAAACAGCACACACGATGGAATGCTGACTAAAATCAATTCAAACTTTTTAATGTCCATGTTAATGGAAATTTGACGCCAATGTCCAGGCAAATCACGAAAAACAGATCACTAAACTAACAAATACGTCGAAGACGCCGTACAAACTTACTTCAGAATCTCAGGATTCGGGAATATTCAACACAACATGGAATAACTATTAAAAATTGACAGAAGAAAGTTATATTGCATAAGTTTTGAATACTATAAATTTTGATCAAAGCTAGCATTATCTAGTAAACATTAAAGATGAAACAAGTTGCAACACAGCAAAGCAGCGAGTGCACAAATATGAGTTAATAGATAAAAGTATAGGATATTCAATGATACTAAATCAATATATGTCTATCAGTAAATAGAACAAGACAATTGTCTGAGGTAATCTTTCAGCTCAGCTATCAAACAAACGCTTGCACAGAACTCCAGCGACTAGCAAGGCAAAAGATGACTCAGCAATCGTCGAGACAACTGCGTGACCCTTTATCTGCTGGTCAGCCGTATTGATTTTAGAAATTCCTCTCTCTAATTCCTACCCTATAGTCAAAATTGAGCTATTTCTTTTGCAACAACGCAAATTGTATTTACCATGGGGCATTGGGTTTACAAGTGATGAGATCAATTGCACCATGGGCAATGTAAGCCAATCAAATGTGCTTATCATTGGCGCGATTGTTCAGCAATACGTCAGCAGTTTAATGCTTTTGCCATATAATTTTTCTATTCTGTGCTTTTGCATTTAAATTGACTCATCACCTTAAAGACGGGGGTTGAAGACAGTTTTAACCGAGCTTAGAAGAATCATGGATTCGTTTCCTTTTAATTTCAACGCTACATACTGTAAGTGTCCAGACTTATTGTTCACAACACGACAAATTCGATTGCGATTTATGATCTCCGTTGCATTGACAATAACAAAAAACTAACATATCATACGTATCCTGATCTTCTACAACATTTTAGCAATTTTACTTTGCACGAGTAGTCATCGCATTATACTTATTATACGTATCAATTATACTATGTACATGTAGTGTGGCAAAAGCGAGTGCAGTCATATCTGCCGATACATTGTTGCGATCCAGGCACATTTTATTTGAAATATCACTTCCAGCAGAACTGTAAGTTTTGAACGACAAAGTACGAACGTGCGAAAACGTGCTAAATTCGGCATGGAAAAGAAATATATTTATTGAATATCTTCAACTAGTTCAGCGATTGCCTACTGGAAAAGCGTTGCTGAACGACTACGACGCATCTAACGCTAATCAAAGAATTGATAAGGCTTTTTAGTCGGGAATTTACAAGACGACAAAACGATTCCCTTGACTTTCTATAACAACCAAGATGGTTAAAGACCAGCGCGTAGCGTTTTAAATCTCTACCAAATATTTGAAAATTTCTCTTATACGAACAAAATAAAGTAAATAGACCGCAGGTGTTAATCAGTTCATCAATCATATTTAGAATTATTATCCATATCTCGATTGACTTAAAATGAATGGTTTTCTGTTGGTAATTCGATTGACTCTATATAAGATCTAGTCGATATTCCGTGGCCACTGGTAAGTTTATTCATGTTCCGTATCTTTTATTCTATTTTCTGTATTGTGAAATCTTTATACTGTATCCTGTATTTATTCTGTGCTCTGTTTTCTGTATTCCGCATTCTGTATTCCGTTTTATTCTGTATTCTTAATCTGCCTTCTGTATTCTGAACTTCATATAAGAATATATTATCAGTATGGTATAACGGTGGGATGAGGACGTCACACTTGATGTCATATGCTATGAAGGAAAGTTGCTGTGGAAATCGGGGCTGTGGAAATCGGAGCTGCTGAAATCGTCACTACTCAATCCATATTACATCATCACTTCATGAAGCAGATACATGAAAAAAGATTTGAGTATCAAAATGAAACGGCTGTCATTAATGCATTTAATCAAAGGTAAGATTATGTAAGGAAAATAAAGCCAGAGTCGATAGGCTGATCAAGTCAGCTAAGGGACTTGCGGAGGAACTCCATCACATCCCACGCCCTAAGATGAGTTTTCTGTACATTAGTCAAAGAAAAGGCGTACAATTCACTAAATCAGAGTCTTTAAAGATTCAAAAAAGACTTGCTTCAAGTCTTACTTTGCTTGAAGGAGCTTATAGAAAATATCGAGTTTATGCTCTAGTCTGCTATGGTATGATAAGTTGTCGGCATTTGAGAATAACTAGATGTGAGCATATATATTGTGAAGTTGTTAAATATTTGACGATCAGTTCATCAGTGTTTTTAATCGAACGATAACAAGAAATAAAAAATCCTAGATGATCTGCTGATAGAAGATTACTAGCGATCATCTGATTCAGTCCATCAAGAAGCTAAAAGAGAGAAGACTAGCTTTGATTCATCAACAAATTTGGTTTGGAGCGGTTTTTTTCAGTATTTGAAGCCTGGTATGAGAATCACTGCGTATCAAGCCCTGAGATCGCACATTAACGTGACTAAAAGATGCCTGCTGATATCTATAGGATGTCTATAGTAACCCTGTCGATAGCCCTTTTTCTAACTCATCCAACGCTTCTGTGGTGACGAGACATTATCGCAGAGCGCTGGCTGGATCATTATGGGGGGGGGGGGGGGGGTTCATTTTAATAACACGAGGCAATGCTACCATCAACAATAAACAAAACTGTTCACGCCATTAAAACCAACGATTTTATCTGAATATGAACTGGGTGAAAGACGTTATTAAATCACATGTACACGGCCTATGCATTCTCAACAAAACGATAACCACACGCAAGCGAAGAGGGAAATGTTGGTAAATGAGGACATCGATTACAAAGAGAAACGAAAACTTGCACGATAAGAATATTAGCATTTGTTATTGCAGCCCTGACTGCTTACACAACAAAAATATATTTGGATGATTAGAATTAAAATGGCATTTTAGATTTAAAATTTCAACCAATAATGACATTTAGCCTTTGCAATAATGGACCTTGCAAGCTAAAGCGAAGAAAACCAAAGGACCAAAGCCACGAAGAAAAGTCTTCAAAATACGAAATATAGTTAAATTGATTTTCAAAGCAAAACAAAACAGGACACCTGTGCATATGCAAGATAAACTCGTATACTAGATCAGACTCTAAAGGAGGAAGGTACGACAAGGAAAGGTAGAAATTCTCATATAGTTTTGCTAAATCAGTTTTTTATGAGAAATCCGAATTGCTTAGGTAAAAAGGAAAATTCCAAAGAAATTCTGAAAACGGGGTTAAATTATGCCGAACTTTGGTAACAATCATGTCAGTTGCAATAAAAAAAACATGGCTGGATTACAAGTTGTTTGGAGCACTAAGATCTCAAACAAAATATGTTCAATCTTGAAAAATGTACAAAACAGAAGCTTCGGTTTGCCATGACGTCACAGTCCGGAGGGTAATTACCGAACGACTACCTGATCTTCACCTGTACTCTTATCATGAACTGCTGAAATTCTTTATTCTCCCAATTAACCGATCGTTGATAACAGCTGGCATCAGCCGCTCTAACCATTTTAATGGTTCTATATTGAACTCCCGATACCAATGAAATGGTTCGAGATAACGAATGTCCGAGTTATCGGGGGTTTGAGTTATCAGGAAGTTTTCTTAAATACACCAATTCAACTTACAGCCTCATTTGGAAAAAAATCAGTACGAGAGCGAGAATTTTAGTCTACTTGAAGTTTCATTACGTTCTTGCTCACGATATTGATTTCATGACGACATAAAGGTACAGATTTTTAAGGGGATTGACCGTGATTCAGCCGGAATGATTTTCGCGGTCAAACCCCTTGCAAGTTTTCAAACTTCATTTCTCAGTAAAATCTAAAACGCAAGCACAAACAATAGAAAAAACTGAATCCAGCCTAAAATTGTGGTGATAAAACCAAATCTGAGCTTTAAAAAGTCGCATAATGAGGTTTAGAGAAATTTTCATAACGAGGCCGTAAGTCGAATTGGTGTACTTCTGTCTATCCGCTATCAACCACCCTGCCAAGCTGACTTTGAGACTCCAAAGATGACCGACATGCATGTGCGACGAATTTTGCATGCAGGGGGTATAAAATGGAAAAAAGATGCTGAGATGCATTGTTGAAATTAAAAATTTTCGCAAATCTTTTGTTTCTTTTCCAACTTTGTATTGATAATTTCACGTTTGTCTTGTAAGTAGGTCATATAGTGACGTGAAGGCATTGTGACGTCATGGCAACTAAAGCTTCTGTTTTGTACATTTTTCAAGGTTGAACGTATTTTGTGTGAGATTCTGACTGCTTCAAACCACTTGTAATCCAGTCATGTTTTTCTTATTGCCTCCGGCGTGAATATTACCAAATTTAGCATAATTTACCCCCGTTCTCAGAATTTCTCAGGAATAGAGTTCTAAAGTGATGACGTCACAAAAATCTATTTTTTGAATTTTTGAATTTTGACTCCATAACCTGAAAGACCATCATGAAATACCTCTAAATGTGCAAAATCAGGCAAGTGTATTACGAAATGGCAGAGATATGGCCACATGTTTACTGGTTCTCTCCCCATCAAACCTCTGTATTTTGGTCTTTGTTCATAACTTTATGAACAGAGCCAAAATAACAGTGATTCGTTAGCAAACTTCAAATCTTTTATTAGCCATATCTCAACCGATTTTAGACATAATTGACTAATTTTACATATTTGAAAGTATTTCATGGTGATCTTTTACGCTATGTGGTTAAAATTCAAAAATTCTAAAAATTGGTTTTTGATGACGTCACACTTTAGAACTCTATTTGTCTTTTTATCCAAGAAATTCAGATTTCTCATAAAAACTTGTTTAGACAAACTATTTGAGAATCTCTACCTCTCCTGGCTGTACCTTGCTCGCTAGAGCCTGGTGTAATTAATAAGTTGTTTTATCTCAGTTTTTCACATTTTTTCTGATGTCAATGACTTCAGTTGAAATAACTCGCACATGCAAGGTAAACTCCCCACCACTACTAACTCTATAGATAGTTGGCCTTAATTAGCTTCTTTATAGCTATCAGCCGTTCATTTAGTACGCCAACTTTAAACAAATTATTTATTATTATTATTATATTATATATCAGGCAGTTTTTTTGTCTGAAGTCGCTAAATATGCCTTTAATCAGGTACCTAAATATGCCAGACATTGCCGACGACTATCTAAGAGTTAGGATGCAATTTTTATCCTAAAAAAAGGCGACACGTCTATCCTACTAAGGACTAATGTCTCTTTGTAACATACGATCTCTGCCACACTTAGAAATTTCGTTAAACATCTATTTATTACGGGGTAGCATAGCGGTCAAATCTTTGATTGGCTGAGAGCTCTGTTCGCTACCATGTTCAAAGCCAATCAGCACACAGGATTTTCACAACAAAATCGCTTCGCAGCTAGAATTAGGCCCATTTTCGCCATTTCAGCGAAGCGATTTTGTTGTGAAAATCCTGTGTGCTGATTGGCGTAGAATATGGTAGCGAACAGAGCTCTCAGCCAATCAAAGATTTGACCGCTATGCTTTACGGAGTATGCTTTCTAAATTCTGACTTTCTCAGCCTACATGGATTTAAGATTTGTACGTCAAAACGTTAGTAAAGCTCTTAATTTTTGTAGCGATCAGTTTTTCAGCCATTCGATTTGATCAAAGAACAAAATTCCCACTGCAATCGGCGTCTGAAAGGTACAATCTTAAACGCATTAACTCTACGGTACGCAATTTTTCTGAAGCAATCACGTTAAGCTTTTGATTCGCTTGGTATTCCGATTGTGATAAATATGGAGGAAAGAAAGAATGAATTGTTCAGAATCTGGGCAAATTGGTAAGATCAACCTCAGCTTTGACATAAAGCGTATCCTCTCTGGTGTACGCAGATGTATCTAGTGCGCTCAGCCTCATGAACAGCGGGCAGCCTGATGCAATATTCATTTCTTTCACTGGTCGCTGGAAAGATGAGCTCGCAGGATCAGGTTTGAAAGCGTCGGTGACATCTTTTACACGATCCTGATCTAGAATGGTCATTGTGACTTTCTGCCTAAACGGCCACGTTAATAAAGCATCATGCTTACCCTTACATATGACAAAGAACAGGCTGATGTGGGAGCCTTTTCCGACGCCATCGCCATTTAGATAGATGCGGAGGCGCATCCTGTATCCATAGTGGCTTGTATAGAAGTAAGGGCTATAGAAGGAGACGTTTCTGCCAACAATGGAGTCATGTCTCTTCTTAGTGAAGCTTGTGATTGACCAAACGAGTATACCGTTAAATGATGCATTTTCAAGATCTTCGATTCTGTCATTTTGCTCAGCCATATTGATTGCGGTTTTCTGCTGGATATCTTCTAGATTCCCAAACTTTTGTTCCATTTTACGTATCGAATCTCTCACTGCATCGATGCTTCGAGAAATCTTCTGAACTTCAGATGTCAGACTGTCTTGGAATTGGAACGAAACAGCTGTTATTTTGCTCTCGAGATCTAAAATCTGGTCGCTTGTAGACTGACCAGACATCTGAAAATCGGATGGCAGGCTTGAAAATGACTGTCTGAAGCTGTCAGCCGTGTCCGGGGTCGAATCAGGTACAACTTTCCCCCGACCTTTTCCTGGCTTGTGCTTCATGGCAAACCCTGATTCATCAAACTTTTGTACCTGGTCGACTGGCTGTCTTGAGGCAAAGCCACGCTGCATTTCTTCACTCATTTCGTATAATTTCTGCGCAACATCAAGTGTATAATTAAGCAAATACGTGTTGTGGTTGACCTGTTCATTTTCCATGTGTTTGCGTTTCTCATTCTTTTTCATTGGCTGCAAACAATCAAGTTAATATTGTGAACATGTCAAAGACATTATTAAAGATCGTAAAGTCAGTAAAGACTTTGTGGGTGATTCAGAACCACTTGAAAGACAGTGACAGGCGAATTTCATGCCATAAATGAAATCAAATAAAACGAAGTTTGGCGGTGATTTAAATGCTTGGGGGCATAAGCTGAACAATTATATGTATACTTCTGCTTGGGAGTGGAAACATACTTGAAGATGTACGAGCGAATGTCCCTAGAGAAAGCGTTTTGAATTCGGAATTCATGCTGAGTAGCAGCAAAATTATGAGTTGCCCCACTAGATACATGAGCGGTTCATATCAACGTACACGAGGCGACAGTTATGGGAATCCATTCACAAACCTCCGTGCTGACAACAGGGCATGTATGAAGATAGGTGGAATAATTAGTACCAATCTGAGCATGCAGAATAAAAGACCTTTTCAAACATCTAATTGCTGCAAATAATAGCCATGCTGAAAATCAATTTGCAAAAAAATCTGGTTTGGAGCATAAAGTTTAACAATCTTCATCCCAATAATCTTCTCTTTCAATGTTCATTAGATTTTATCATCAAGCAGGTAGCATATGTTAGATTGTGACCTCATCGTTTCCTTGTGTTTTGTTGCATTGTTGTTATGCTAATGTTTCTCGTATCTGTTCAAGATGGCGTTTATTTTTCGTGATGGTGGTTTTAAATACTGCATTGTTTCCACTGATGACTTTTCAAATGTAGTAGCTGCATATTTTCTCAAGAATAAGATTAATGCAGTAAGAGCTACTGAAAGGATTTTAACAGATGTTGCTTCTTATGGCACAGACAAATACATGAGATCTGATGGACATGGTGAATTTATTTGAAGGAGTTTGATTCCTATCTTTTGAAAAAAGGAGTTAGATATGACACATCATGTCCCAACTCTCCTCATGGGAATGGCACTGCTGAGCAACACTGGTGAACCCTTTTTTTGAAATGGAGAGATGTCTTCTGAAACAAGAGAATGTCGTGCCAGTAAAGAATTTTGGCCTCATGCAATGATGGCGGCAGCTTATATACGCAACAGGTGCTAGAACAAACTTCTACAGAAGGCACCATACCGTGCTATGACAGGGCAGAAGCCTAATCTCTCTAATATGAAGATCTTTGAATTTGAATGCTTTGCATAAAAGGAGAAAAGAAGTAATAGAAGAACAAAAGTAATGTTTCTAGGGTATGATAAGAGCAGTCCTTCTAATCTTGTTTTTATTCCTGCAACTAACAAAATTATGAAGTACTAAGTTGCGAAATTTCCAATCAAAAAAGTGATTGAGCAGCAGACACAAACAGAGAGCGTGTTATCTGATTATGAGGAGACCATGCTCTTTCCAGAGCTACTAAGTGATGAAACAGAGAAAGCAACAAGTGAGGCCAGGCTAGAGCCAACTGATAATCGAATACCATCTGAAAGTAGATAAGAGAAAGGAGACCAATAATTCGTCTAGGTGATTGCATCGCTGAGGAAGAAATTGAAAACAATCAGGTAATGAGTTCGGGTGACTATTGTTATAGAGTTTCAACTTTTCCTCAAGGAAGCTTTGCAATCTCCAGACTCTTAAAAATAGAAAGGTGCCATAGAGGAGGAAATAAGCTCCTTTTTTGAAAATGGTACTTTTATAGTAACAACATTGCCAAAAGGAAGAACACTAGTAGGGCTGATCGCTGGGTTTACACCATAAAAGAGGGTGCAGGGGAAGACATCACCTAAAAGCTAAAAGGCAAGATTTGTAGCAAAAGAGCATAGTCAGGTAAGAGGAATTGATTTTCAAGAGACTTTTGCTCCTACTCTAAGTACATTATCAGTTAGAGTGTTATGCCAGCTAGCAGCACAGCATAACCTAATTTTAAATCAAGTGGGTGTCAAGACAGAATACTTAAATACACCATTCGATTGTAATATCTATATGGATCAAGCTGGTTTTGAGAGACTCCTAGTTCTACCAAAAGTAAAAGATTGGTGCATACTAAACAAGTTACTCTACGGATTAAAGCAGTCAGGTAGAAAAAGGAATATGTTACTGCACAACTTTCTATTAGAGAACAATTTTGTTCAGAGCTCAGTTAATAATTGTGTCTATATGAAAGAAGCTGATAAGAAAATGGTTTATATGTTGATTTGGTTGGATGATACAAATATTGCTGCATGTGGAAATTAAATTATGAATGAGACAAAGTTGATGCTTCAAGAAAGATTTAGAATGAAAGACCTGGGAAAAACGTTATATTTTTAGGTACAGAGTTGAACAGGGAGATGGTTCTGTAAAGATGTCACAAAAGAAGTATTTGACAAAGATTCTAGAATGATTTCAAACGTCTGGTTGTAAACCAAAGACCACAACTTTAGAGCAGAAGCTTGACTTCTCTGACTAGTCAAAGTGCAATACCAAGCTATCAAGAGAGGCTGTTGGCGGTTTAATATATGCGATGACTTGCACAAGACCGGATCTTGGTTGGGTAGTTCCACGTTATCACAGAATTAATCCAATCCACTACAGAGTCATTGGACAGCAGTGAAATATGCTCTGAGATATATGAAAGGTACTTGGAGTATGTGTTATGCTACGGGGAGTGCAGAGAAAATTTAGACTAATTTGTTATACAGTGATGCAGACAGGGCATCCTCATCAGATAGGAGAAGTACCAGCGGATATTGCTTTAGTTTGAGTGATACAAGCCCACCTATTTCTTGGAAATCAAAGAAGCAGTCCACAGTTGCTTTATCATCTTGTGAGGCACAATATATTGCACTAGCATCAGCTAAAGAGGAGAGTTTATATCTTATTCAGCTGCTTAATGACTTGAAAGAATCTTGTCAGTCAGCAACTATCTTTGATCAAGGTGCCATTGCCCTCTCAAAGAAACCTGTAAACTGTCAACACGCAAAGCACATAGATATGCGTTATCATTTTATTCGATCAACACAAGAGACAGGTAAAGTGACAATTAAATACTGTCCGAGACAAGACATGATTGCCAATTTGACGGCTAAAGCTGCTAGGAAAGTAAAACTGAAAAAAATCAAACATTTTATTTTTGGATAGACTCAAGACTTTTATAATTACTTTTGATATGCTGATTTATATGAAATCAAGAGAGGGTGTTAGATTGTGATCTAAAAGTTTCCTTGTGTTTTGTTGTATTGTTATGTTAATTATGTTTACTTATGCTTCTCGGTGCTGTTCAAGATGGCGTTTATTTCATGTGTTCACATATCCCTTTAAATCGCCTCCATCATATCCCTCTAAATCGCAAATGAATATAATTTGACAGCATATAGGTTTAGAGCTTACTCGTTTTGATGTGCATCCAATTTTGATGAATGGGCACGCCAACACTGCTTCGTCACAGTCCGAATTTTGATGTGTGTCCAGCTGTTGCAGAGGAATAGTAACAAACCATCAGTGGTGGACAAAACAATTTTTATATTCATCGCTTTAGGAGCTTTTGCAAATTGACGTCCGTTTCTTATCAATGTTTACAAAAACTTTTTGTATGTGTGTTTATGCAAACTCCTATTTCGATAATCGGTAAGTTTTCAACACTAAAGTGTCTGAGACACATTTATTTGAAAGTTTCAAATGAACTTGTTTAACGCGAAACATTTTTGAAAATTACAATTATACATTCAAAAATTTCACTTGATCGTAGCTCCTTTTCCGTAAATAGATTTTTCTCTCTCATGGACTTGAGAACTTGAAAAAAAATATAATTGAAAGAGAAAGCCTGCATGGTTTTGTTTCCCGAAAACAGGAACGTCAATTTTGAGAGGAGAGAGATTATAATTTGACTAAACAATTTGGTTGAATTTAGTTTTGAACTACCCTTGCATGAGATAATTCTTCGCTGTTTTTGAACAATGACCACAGAAACTGTATTCTATAAATGCAAATTAATCATTTGAGATTTTTTTGCCACTCCTGCTTATTTTTCAATGCAATTATTTCTTAATATCCTTTCCTTTAACCTTCAGCAATTTCGCACGTTTCTTTCTTCTTCGTTATCCTCCTCTCCTCTTACTTTCCTCTTTTTCTCCCTTTATTGCTTATTCCCCTTCTTCTTCATATTCTTCCTTATTTCCTTTTTGTTCCTATTTCCTTTTTTCATCTTCTCCTTCTTCCCCTTTTCACATCTGCTCCTTCCTGTACTTGATATTATTTTTCTTCCGATTCTTCTTTCTTTTTATCTTCCCGTTCCTCTCTTCTTCTTTTATCTTTTTCTTCTTTTTCTGTCACTTCTGCTCCCTTCCGTTCCTGGTATGCTTTTTCTTCCGCGTTACTTCTTCCTTTTCGTCTTCACATTCTTCTCTTCTTTTTTCGCCTTCTCCTTCTTCGCCCATCTCATCTGCTCCTTCCTGTTCTTGACATCTTTCTACTTCTCCGATTTTTCTTTCCTTTCAACTTCTCCTTTTTCTCTTCTTCTGTCTTCCTCTTCGTCTATATCTTCTGCTCCTTTCAGTTCCTGATATCCTTCTTCTTTTCCGATTACTTCTTCCTTTTCATTTTCTCGTTCGTCACTTCTTTTTCCACCGTCTCATACCCCCTCTTCATCTTCGTTTTTTGATATTTTTTTCTGCTCTCATTTTTTCTACTCCTTTATTCTTTTTTCTTTTTTCTTTCTTCTTGTCATGTCCGCTATTTCATTTCTTCTATACATTCCTTTTCTTCCTCTTTTTCCTCTTCTTCCTCTTCTTCCTCTTCTTCCTCTCCTTCCTTTTCTTCCTCTTCTTCCTCTCCTTCCTCTCCTTCCTCTCCTTCCTCTTCTTCCTCTCCTACCTCCCTTTCCTCTCCTCCTCATCCTTTTCTTCCTTTTCTTCCTCTTTTTCCTCTTCTTCCTCTTCTTCCTCTCCGTCCTCTTCTTCCTCTCCTTCCTCTTCTTCCTCTTCTTCCTCTCCTACCTCCCTTTCCTCTCCTCCTCATCCTTTTCTTCCTTTTCTTCCTCTTTTTCCTCTTCTTCCTCTTCTTCCTCTCCTTCCTCTTCTTCCTCTTCTTCCTCTCCTTCCTCTCCTTCCTCTTCTTCCTCTCCTACCTCCCTTTCCTCTCCTCCTCATCCTTTTCTTCCTTTTCTTCCTCTTTTTCCTCTCTTTCCTCCTGTTTCCTTTTCCTTTTATTTTCCCACCTTCCATTCTTCCCTTATTCTTTAAGAAAAACCTTCCACATCACGCTTTGTGGCTTCGGAAATTGCAAGTCCACTTGAAGTTCTTGTCACCATTATAAATCAAGTTATCTCAATGTGATTAAATTCGACAAGTTGTGATAAAAGCAAAAAAATCAGACAAACCTGCCCTCGTAAGATGTCTTTTCCACATTGACTGCATTTGATTTTAGCCATCGGGCATTTTGTCTGGCAATGTTTCTACGATCAATATACAATATAGTTAAATCATTTCTCCTCAAAACAGACATTCAGCATGAAATAGAGCCTCCAGATGATGTTTTTACATTCCCTATACATCAATTTTTAACATAAAACACAAACCTGTGTGGTCGTTGTTAAGAAAAAATTAAGCTCTGAAATATCAAGATCATATTCAAAGTGCTTAACCATAGTGCGAATTTGAAATGGCAGTACGTGATGCCAGCACTTAACAATGCTCAGACCATTACGAATTGAATAAGGAATTTGAATCTAAATCTCCACATGCAATAGATCGATATACGTATTTTTGGTACAGTACATCTTCGTTTATCCGAACCTCGTTTATCCGTAAACCTCAAATTGAGAAATATTTTAACATTGAGCATTTTTTTCCCTTTCATTCAGCCAGAATAAGACCAAGTTAATTTAACTTTTAGAATAGCGACGCTTGGAACCTTTAAGGAATGCAGAATACACGATATCAATTTCATTTGTGAAAAACTTCTTTCTTTACATAATGGTGTCTGTTTATTCGCGGCAGAATTTTATTGCAAGGGGCAACGCTTTCATGTTGAGTGTTGTTATCTTTTCATGTAACAACTATGTTCATTAACCGGTGCATGTCCGTTAAACAGTGAATTTTCCTTGTCTCTATTTTGGTCATTTGCATGACGGCAGAATATTTTTCATCAATTTTAACATAGAATAAGCTACATTGGTGACTCAAAATTCCGTCCAGTTCGCTGCACATTTATATTCATGCCGTTCGGATAAACGAGCATGCACTGCAGTGGCGTAAGGCAGTTAAGGGCACAATAGTTTGATAACTAAGGGCACCCGATCAAAAAGGACCTCAAGCTCGTCCCTAGTTAACGTGGAAAACATCAATTTTACATATTGCTATTGTGTTTGACATGCCATCTTGGATGGTACTTTCTTGTAGTCTATCAAAAGGGACGCGTCAAAGTTTTATCTCAAGGGCTCCAGATGCCTTCGTCACGCCACTGTTTCTTAACAAAGCTCGACAATATTTTCAACTCTATGGTTAAGACATTAGATTAGATATTTCCAGTCAGTGCCAACAGAAAATTGGAATGTACGTTAGCTAAGCGTGGAAAGCTTATTTGAAAACACAAAATTATTCTTTGATCCAATAAACCTACCTTGGTATTTGCAACAACAACCATTTCCCCACATAGCTGGCAGGGTTCTTTTCTGTACAGACATTCTGTCTCCAAATGCTGACTTAAAAACTGTCTGGGGACAAGCTCACCACATCCCTGGTTGGCACAGGTAATATTAATGTATGGACATTGCGAAATATGGTCCTGAAACAAACAAAGTTGTAAGCATGGACGGATAGGGTCAGAAATAGGTTAAATAATCGATAGTCTATTTTGGCATTCCCATTGTTTTTTAAAAATTTCAAAATGGGTATAAAAAAGCGATCAAAAAAACGAGCAAGGGATTCTAACGTTTTAAAGCAGCTCAAATTGCGAGTGATAAAGAATTTTTCAGTCTTTCAAGAAAAAGGTGTTCCCGTACCAAAATATTTAGTATGTCGCTATCCGACATTTGCAGAATTTTCATATTTGGCTAAAATCTAAATTTTGGACAAACACGTTCAGTGTCGCCATATTACAATGTTTAATGTAAGAATTCACCATTCGCACTATGCTTTATTTACAATGTTTATCAAGTCCAAATTTGACCTTGAAGTCACATTTAGAATTTAGAATTGATGACGGAATTTTTACTCTCTCTCTAACCATTTTCCGCAATCTTCAAATCATCTTTTAAGCAAAAATAAACTTATCATGATTACAAAATGACAAAGTTCATGTTTCTAGACCTCATAGTCCTTTACGGGACCATTCCAAGGACACCCAGCACTGTTGTTTTCACAAATACCAGTTGCGTTTAATATCTCGCGCTCTATGAATTTATCGGGAAATACCTGAAAAATAAGTGAAAAAACTTTCACATTACCAGAAATAGTGATAACGGTACAAGAATATTCAATACAGGGCAGAAGCTGAAATGATTAATGATTTTATCGAGCTGCAGGAGCCCAAAGGATAATCTGGCGTAGCCACGCCCTTGGACTCTAATTAAAGGAGGCAACGCCTATTTGAAGATGTTGGAATAAACCAACTGTCCGTTTCGATTGCAATCAAACATCTTTCAATGTCCGACCCTCCATAATTTCTTAGAAAAATCCGAAGGGCCTCTTTTAGATGTTGGGTAGGAGGGGGGGGGGAGGGTCAGGACCATTCCTTATTCCTCCCCTGAATATAGTAAAGAGCTTACAGTGAAGAGCTAGGCTAACAACCAGTCAGTCTTCAAAAATTCAAAAAGAAAATAAAAACCATTTTAAACAGTGTCTCTTATCCCTCCTAACTAATTGCTTGTTTAATTATAGGGGGGTGGGGGGTGTTTACAGTGAGGTGAGGTAGCCCAGTTATGTTTTTATTAGGCAATGTGGCCTGGCGGGGTACCTCACTTTGCCAAGATTGATTTTATCCCGGCTTTAATAAATGAAGCTTCAAAAAAGCAAACGTATTAAACTCTATCCTTCTAAATGTCTGCCTTCTTCAAAACCAGCGGCGGCGCCAAGGGGTGGTATGGGGGGGTAATTACCTCTCCACTTTTCTGAAAATATGGTCTATATATTTCTTCTAAAAATAGATTAAAAAGCGCTGGGTAGGGGAAGATCAAATTTCCCAAGGAAAGGGACGAATCACTGGAAAGAGGCAAACAGGGCGTGGTCACACTGACCACGCCCATTACCCTCCCACTCTGTAACTGCTGGCGCCGCCACTGTTCAAAACCATTCTTAATTTTTGAACCAGAAAAGACTTTTTGAAGAGGGCTAGCCTGGTTAGCCCAGTGGTTTAGCCGGGCTGAGCGTGCTTCTTCTAACACCCCACATGCGCGCTTCAAGTCAAAACACCCCGATTAACCGAGCCAGCCCCATTGCCTGTGTTTAAAAGGAAAAATCCATTCCCCATTTGACTCCATCCAATACCATGTTGAATAGGAGGAAGTGCTCATTTGTAAAGGGGACGTTATGACGACACTTTACTTAGGCAGAGGGGCTGTCCCGGTTACTGGGGAAGTCCTTGCCATTGTTATATTGCTTTTAAGCACGGGTTATTCCCCTTTGGCCAAAAACAACATGCTGTTAATAGGGAAATTCCATATTGCCTTTCACCGGCCTGAGATTATGTATTCTCGGAAGGGTCTTTCCAAGAACATGGACTTTCCAAGAACAGGGAGGCATTTAGGGTCGCATGGTAAGCTCATATATTATTTTTTTGCCACATTAGTTAAAAAGTAGACTATAGAAGCAATTATAGACAAAAAATCAAAATTACTTCAGCAACTTCGATGCCATCCACTGGGCAAATGAAACTGGAGGAAGATCTGCGGGAATAAAAGTAAAATAGAATGAAGACAATGAGCAGAACTCAAAAGTAATAAAACTTTATCTTAAAAAAAAATACAGGGTATGCCAGGGGGTTCTTTAATTTTTGTTGTTTTTTATCATCATTTTGTATTCTTTAATTTTACTTCGCAAACAAGCGAGCAAACATGAGGTGACTGAAATTTTTAGAGCTTAAATTTTACAACTGAATTAAAATTGGGGCTCTAGAGTACATGTGGAATGATACAAGGACTGTGATATGACCTTTATGTTTGGGGGAGCCGCCCTGATAAATGAGTGTAACAAAAGACATTTTAATAATACAAGAAGATTAACTTATACCTGTGTAAGAATTACTACAATACTGGTAGTAAAGCTTGATCTGAAAGCTTCTGAAATGCAAAAGCTTTGTTACGATCTTTGGTTACCAATTTTTAAAGAAATATTCTAACAAGGAAGATATCTTATTCCTGTGTTATGAAACAAACTTTGATTGAGACATAAAAATAAAAAAACATGAAACTAATATCTCAAAAACAATAAAAATAAACAGAGCTAAGACGGTTTTTATATTTTTAGAAAAAGAAAAGATTATAAAATATACACTAGGTTCGCAAAAGTATGGAAACGGTAGGTCGTAAAGGCGGCTCACAGTGACAACGGGCCTAAGCCAACCAATTTCAAAATCAGAATTATGAGGCGAAGGGGCTTGGAAACGATAGGTTATGGTGGGAAAATGAATTAGCCATTTCTTCGAATTTCGGTTTAAAGAAAATTTAATGATTGCTTTGATGTTTTGAAGGGAAAAATTCAACAAAACTTTGAAGCATTGCTTCAAAACAATTCTGTAAAAGATTCTCTGAGTATTTATGAAAGATGACCACGAAGTGTCACTTTGTTGAAGAAACGTGAACGAAAAATGTTGAAATTCGAAGTAAATTGCTTAAAGCTTCTTTTTCATAAAAGATTATAGCCGAGATAGTGACGTTAGCAGTGCACTTAAATTTTAAAGTTTCAATACTGACACAAGGTGAGTTGCTCTACATTTGATTATAATGACTTGTTTATCTTAAATTCTGTCAGTGGCGTACCCAGGGCTGTAGCAGTGGGGGTCTAGGGCGGAGCCCCAGAATTTTTTAGACCACGCCCTTAATACACTCGCAAATGCGGGGAAACGCCCTTTTTGCAAAATGTCACCCCATTATTTGATTAATGTTAGCTACGGTAAATAGCAAAGTATTTTACAATTGTTATTGACACAAGCATACAGTATACTACATCCCCCCCAATGAGTTTTACATCACTTTTGGACAAATCTCGAGGGTCCGGACCCGCCTATTCCCCCCCTTGGGTACGCCACTGATTCTGATTTACTCGTTATCTAAGCACATGACAATCAAAAAATTAAAGCAAAACGTTCAACGTTTAGTCTGCTTTTAAAATTATTGAAAAGAATCATCTACACCAAAAGTGCCTATGTTATTTAGCAAGAAAACTATTTTGATCAATAAACGCAAGCTTTAGAAATTGTTCACCCAATATCACTTTTGATAACTTAAAACCTGATATCCCAGCCAAAATGATCTTCTTGGTAATATATTTAAAGTCATTTTGTGGCAAAAGCATTCGTTACAAAAACCACTTACCGCTGAGCTTCTGTTTTAAAAACCTGTCGGCTTAGGCCTTTGGCTTCTGCGAGCCGCCATTTTTAGCACCGTTTCCATACTTTTGTGACCCCAGTGTAGATATGGAGCATATACAATGTTTGCAGTGAACAATTTATAATATTTGTCATGTTTTAAATTATTCTTTACCAATGATACTTTTTTCACAAAGCAATCTTCATAGCAAGATAAATTTTTCTTCTTGAATTAAAAAAAACAACTATCTTTGTACAAACCATCTGCTTAATATTTCAAATGTAATAGAGTGCTTAGATGACAACTTTGTCAATACATGCAACCTTTTTCAATTTGTCATTTTGTTTTTATCTTGCATCCTTCTAATATTTTTCTCACTTTTGTTAAATTTCTTTGCACCATTGGCGCATGTAACATTGAGTTTTCAGTTAAATTTAAACTTCCAGTTAATTTCAAAAAAATATTTTTTAAAAACTACTGTCTACAGAAGCTATTAAAAAATAAAGGAAAATCCTAATTACCCTCTTTTCAGTTGAACACATGAATAACAACAGCGATGCCCACACAATGTCTGTACTGGGTGTCTTAGCAACAAACGACAAAGGGTACAAAGGAGATCTTTAGTAGCACATTCAATTTTGATGGTAAACCCAGGCATTTGCAACTGGTTTCGTACACAAACAATAAATTAAAAAAATTTCCTTCTTATATTTTTGTCTTTTGTTTGTGAATCAAATTGACTTAAATGTCCTTGTGACAGTTTTTTCATTCCAAAATGTATGAAAGTAATTCTGAATGCAATATTCTGTCATGTTCGGAAGAAAAATGGCCCATATGATATCAATCCTTCCTTGGGAAAATGATATTCTTAGCAGCATGGCTACACCCATCAGCTAATACAAAGAGACCCTGCAAAAAACAATAGTTTAGGTTAGATTGGATTGAAATCACAACCAGTTTACTATAACACATTCTATTTTTATGCATTAGTGCACCAAAGAACAGTTTTCCAAAACCTTTTCATATTTGAATTTTTTATTGATGCTACAAAAATTTACTTTCTCAATACAAAATAACTTTTCTTTCTACGAGTAACATTTTTGTAGATTACTTTTTAAATAGTCACGAAACTGTATGACCAAAAAAGTAGGTTAAATGGAATTCATTGATTTGTTCTATTTTGCTTTTGAAAATTGAGCACCTTTTGAATGTCAACGGTAGAAATTCTGAGGAGCAAAAACTCAACAGAGGATATTTAATCTACAAACAAATTCAAATAAATTAGGACATATTGAAGTAAAATCATATTTTGTAAATTTATTACAGCTGTTTATGTCTGTCATAAAGGTTCATTTGCTTAATCGAATTTCTATTTGCTCTGCAAAACAGTGGTAGTTGAAGCTAGTACATTGGAGTAATCACTAAATGTTTGCGCCTTGTCGATAAAATCTAGAACGAAGATGTCATTCTCTAGCAATGGGGGAATTGTCGGCACTTGAATTTTGTTCAGAATATTATTCATTAAAGCCCAGTAAGGTTTTTGACCAGAGGAGGATTGGAAAGGGTTCGCCCTATTAAAGTGAAGTATTTTTGCTTGGTGTTTTAATGTTGTACCCCGTGATATCATGTTCTTAATGCTATTTCGCTTATTCTCTGGTTGACAATTTTCATAAATGTTTGGTATGCCCTGTTTTCTCAGATAGTTTTTGATCCACTGGATCTGTCGAAGTAAAGGATCTGTCCAAGCTGTTTTGAATATATTGCTGTAATATTTGTTTCCTATACAACATCACAATTAGCTGGAAGAGATGGAGTTGAAGGCTTCTGCCATGTTTTATCAATTGTATTTTGCTGCAACATGTCACGAAATGGTATCCAACATTAAGCCTTTTGCAGTACAAAAAACTTGTGACCCAAATTTTGGAGAAATACTTTGATAACACTCAGAAGAATTAACAGTTTTGGGCAACCAAGCAAAAAGTATGTATTTCCAAGTTCGCCTTACTGAAATCATACAGGTTTGTGCTAAGAAAAACCTTTTTTGTTGCAAATATATTACAGGTATGCTATCGCCATAGCTCAGTTTTCAAGTTTTTGCAGTGTTCGATATGGCTTAAAGATAAGAAGAATCAAAGGATATATTTGCATTTTTCATTTTCATTATTCTTACTTGATAAATTTCCCATTATTTCCCATCCAAACGGTCATCTTAAAACTTTTATTCAATTTACTTTAGCTATTTGAATTTCGGTTTGCTATAAAAAGTTCACGGCGGTGCTGCAATTTTGTGGGGGGTGCTAGGCCTCCGACATAGGGGACCTAAATTTTCTTAAAAACAATAGAGCTTTTTTCAAAATCTTTTGTTATGGCTGTTAAAGTTTCTCTTGGCCCCCTCACTTTCCAACCTGTGTCGGAGCCCATGGGAGTGTTTCAATAATTTTGCTCACCTATACAACACCATCATTCTGATACTAATTAGAATGTCAAGCTTATTTTTGAAACAGGTTTACATGCTTTTTTATAAAGAACCAGGCTCAAGGCAAAGATTGCATGTTGTGTAAGCTTAGTTCTAGTTGTAACAAAATGCGGTGTTGCAGCTGTTTGGCATGACCAGTGTAAAATATGAAAAAGATTCCACCCTTAAAAAATTTAAAGTGAACATTCACAGAAGGAAATTGGCACAAACATAGCAACCAAAGTAGCATTTCTGGAAAACTTGGCATAAATAATCATAGTTTTTCCAAAACCGGACTTCGGCTGGGGCACGTTATAACGTTACGTTACGTAACGTTACCTACCACCTGCATTTTAGGACTTCAATAATGTTACTGAGGTACAGTTATATTAGCAATGTAATATTATCTTTCAAACAATAAAACTATAAAGGATTTTTTTATATCGCCAAATCATGCTTACTTTTACTTACCATAACAGTGGCAGAAAATAAGGAAGTGTTCATTTTTAGAAGAGTAAATGCACTTTTTGCCTGGCCTAACAGGTCGCGTTGCGAACAGCTGAAAAGATCTGGGATCTAGCCTTGACACAACGCATTGCAATTGCCGACGAAATGCCGAACATACGCAGCAACTCTATTTATCTAGCCACAATTCCCTACGAATTAAAAACTTACATTTTACCTACGGAAAGGGCTCAGGGGATTTTTTTTCAATGCTGCAGATGTGGGCATTGCACAGGCCCGTCAGAACCGATGACAATCAATCATGCAAAGACAGTTTGACATGGTCAATGGCAATAGACATGCAATACAAAGTCTATAGTGCTAAAATATTGGAAGAGGGCAGAATCCCATACAATTTATGTATCTTTCCTTTTATATTTTACCTTCTTATCTTATCGATACTCTTTCTACCTCCTCACATGTTCCCACCCCATCTTACGTTCTACAGCGTTTTTCTTCATAGTTCACGTTTCGATTCCACTCTTTTATTCTCTTTTTAACCGTTACTTCCTTATACTTTCTACTTGATGAAAAGTTATGCTCGAAACGTCGCAATTTATGATCGAAACGTACAAACTTTGATAGATTGTACCTTCAGTGAATCTTTGAAAACTGTACCTGTTTGTGATGTAGTTTTCATACTGAGTCATGTGCTTTTGATGTTTACATTACCTAATTCTGCTTTTTTAAGATAAATAAATAACAAATGACAGATAATTTGGCATACTGTTCTATACACAAACTTGTGGTTAAATAGGCAAAATCTTATCGCAATCATAGTAGGTTATCAGGTATGTTAACTACAGGATTAGAATTGAAACGAGTCCTCGACATATATTTTCTGCCATGAGCATTTTCTGTTGGAAAATATAGGATCTGGAATGTTAAAATTTATGACATTATAGTTAAAAACCTTTAAGAAACAATAAGTATTGGAATTCGCTAAAACAATAAGAAACTCGAGTACTCAAGGTTGAACTTCGTTTTTTATACAAAATGAGTGCACATACTTAGTAATCCTGCTTTAGATTATTAAAAACAGGAATATTAACCCAATGAACAACATGAACTTAATGTCATGATTTCTTTGAAATGTAAGGCGAGATAAATGTGTAGTAGGAAAAAATATTTGAATCCCTTAGAAGAAATTGTGAAATCCTAAAATTTACAGATTCGTAGAGACGAAATTAGAAATATCGTGGCATAAGAGAATTAGGCAGAAGCATTAAACATAGATTACGGGGCAAATAAATGTTATCACTATATACCCACACCACTGGTGTAGGTGCAGGAGAGCCATTGTCCCACTTGTTTCCATAAGTTCAATCTTTGTTCGATTGTGACACCAAATAGCCTGACCTCTTTGGACTGGTCATTGCTTTTTCTTTTAATTCCTAAATACAGATTTTGTTGCTTTATAAAGCCAAGAAATATTATCTGAAATTTCGGTGGATTTGTCTCCATGAAATTTGAATCAAATCACCTTAATATGGCACGAATACGAATTTCTAATTTGAAGCTCGTTGATTCAATGTTATGCCATATAGGATAGACTGGACCTAATACGGATCCTTGCAGGACGCCAGAGCTTCACAACTATAGGAGTTCAGAACTTTCTTAATGATTAATCTTTCTAGTCTCACTTAGTACATCATGCTGTTATTAATTTCTTTTTTATAAGCTGTACTAGTGTTCTATGCTTTATGCTCTACAACATTGAAATGCTTTTCTACATAGAGAAGATGCTTATGTTGTTAAAGGATTGCAATGTCTACTCTATGATGGTTCATACAGGTTTAAATGTAATTTTTTATTCTTACTCTGGTAGTGTTTTTCATATCATCATTTGAAAAGCTGGAATTTTCCTAAAAACACGACCAAAATTTTTGAAAGAAAGTCTCCTTCTCATTGCAATACGGACAAAGGATTTTGAAAATTGTCTTGTTCGAGTAGAAAAGCCAAACATTTCTTACATACAATAAATACTGAATGTCCGAAGCTACCACAAATATGAATTTAGTTCACGCAACACTCTAGCCTATGACTGGTAACATGAATTTGCTTGTGTCCAGGAACCGCCCAGTAATATGGCTAGCAGAGACACCCCCCCCCCCCACTTTTTTACAATTATAGGCTAGACAATTTTTAGAAAGTTTATTCTAACGCAACTGTGGAAAGTTTACTTAAACGGAGCCTAAGTAGTAGCAGTTCGTTTTGACTGGGAACCCATTTTCTTGATGTCTTATCTTGTCAAATCTATTTTCATAGTACTTTATATCTTCTCTGAATCGGACTGTTTGTATAAAGTGGAGCGTTTGTATAAGTGGAAATAAGTAAGTACTTTCTAATAGGGGCGTTTTCCGGCGTTATAAAGGGCGTGATCTAAAAAATCTTGGCCACGCTCTTTTTAGCCCACCCATTTTTAGAATGGTGTGCGGTGCTTGTCTGTGTCTTGAATGAAAGAACGCAGTAAACCGGGACACTTGCAAATAAACAAACAGATGCGTATTGAATTAAGAAAGCGCTTCCATGTATGACTAGAAACTCTGGTGATGAGGCCTGCAACCAGAACATTGAAGTTCTTTTATCATATTACAGGGCGGGCGAAACGTGATGGAAATTGGAGGGGCCAAAATATCAAAGTCTTGAAAGGGCTTAGGAAAGGCCGCCACCATGGTTGGCGGCAAGAAAAATTTTAGAATTATGGTGTCTTAGGGATGGCCGAAAACTGTATCTAAAATGAATTTTGACTGAAGGTGTCGCATAGTCGCGTCTATTGTGATATTGACTTGAAATAGAAAAGTTTTGTAAAGTTTTAGAATAACCACTATCATATAGCTCGTGATAAAACCTTTTTTAGATTTTAAAATTACCCGAAATAAGATGAGGGAAAAAGATAAATGAAACACGGATTAATAAAAACATTAACCTTGAAATATCAACAGAAGAACTATCTACTAAAAATAAAAATTTCAGCAATTTTGTACAGCTAAGATATAATTTTGTAACATCTGATCTTAACTTTTTCGGAAATGAAGTGCTTTAACAAAAATTTTAAAAACCTTCAAAATGAGTTGGCCTGTCAAAATGAGTTTAAATAGAATTTATAATTGCGTCCATGTTTCTCTTTCTTAGTAGGAATGGATTATTCAAACGATCAAACTCTGAAGTTTTTTTGATGATACTTTTTAAGAACAAATCTGCTCATGCTTTATGTCTCATATCCTCAAAAAAGTTCGTTCCAGCTGTTTCTTTTCCTTCAACAGCTGATTTCTCTCTTTTTGTAATGTTTCTGAGAAAGTTTTCGTTAACAAATAGACCCTGTGTGCCAAGTTTAGGCAATGGAAAAAACGAAACTCCGTCAATTTGTGCTGGCACCAAGTTATTCTGGACTAGGTTTCTCGATCTATTTGCTAAGCCAAGCTGTCACTCGTTGTAAATTTAAACAATGACCGATTTCTTCAATCTAATTCCCATATTCAATTTTATGTATGTCTTCTATGATAAAGACATAGCAACAAAGGTAAAGCTAAGGACACATTTAAGAGAATACTAGGCAAAGTTACTTACAGAATCATATACTATATTTATTTTCACTTTCGCCTAAAATTTTTCTTTAGCTCTGAAGAAAAGTGGGGAGGCCATAGCCCCACCGCCCCCCCCCCTGGTTTCGTCGGCCCTGTTATCAGTGTACGATCGATGTCTCTGTGATTTCTGAGACTATTGAATGCCCAGAATTTTCGCGTCACTGCATAGAGAAATTATTTTATATGTAATAAAATGGTGTTCTGCCCAATCTGCATTTTTCATTATCAGACTTTTTGAGTCAATTTGGTAAAAAATTTAATCTAAAAATTATAGAAAGGTTTTTACACGAAAGAAAATCTTATCATTGTATGTTTAGAGGTTGTCAATAACCAGTTAAGTTAACATTGTAGCTTTTTAAAAAGCCTTTGAATCTAGATGCGTCAAATTTTAGTTCCGATCTTTTATTTTCCCCCGTGGTGGCTCTTGGATTAAGCCAGAGGTATTTTTGTTACCAGCTTAACAGTCTAACGTGTAATAAAGCTTCTTGCAAGTGTTTGCTTGGCTATAACCATCCTTTACAGCTGCCATTTTGTTTTATCGCATATTAATATGGTACCTGATTGACTTCGAAAAATCCATTCGTTATCTTTCAGTCTTCACTTGAATATCCTAGGGTAGAAAACAAACACGTTTCAACATGTTATGGAAACATGAAGAATTGTTAGCAGATAAAGAGATGAATGGAAATCAGCATTTCTCGACATAAATGAACTCCATCACTATTGAATACTTAATCAGAGATTCTTATGTGAAACTACAGCACTAAATTTCAGTACTCCAAAGATTTAAATTCTTTACTTTCCTGTGTTTCTGAACAGTGGAGGAAACATGCCCCCGTGCCCCCTTATTCCTACGTCTGCGATGGTCACTTTTCAGCATTCCCAAGATGGCTATCGTAGCACTACACCCCTAAAAAAGGATAATGATTTTATTATCATTCATGTTGCTACACACAAAAAATCATTGCCTGTTTTAAGCCTTGGATAGTATAATGGAGGCTTTTCTCAGATGCTTGTTAGAATATGGCTTTTAAATTGTCACACTAATCATACTTTTGCGAAGATAAAATGGCAATTCAAGAAATCAACTATAAAATACAGAGCACATATTTCACTACTTATCAGTGCGAAACCCAAAATAAAAGAATACAAAGAAGTGTTATCAAACTGATGATTGAAAATACAAAAGTAGATAGAACCTGTTACTAGGACATAAACTATAATAGGCATGCATAACAAAGACGTCTCTAGACGCTTAAAGCAACTTACGAAAAAAGTTTCAGTCGAAATCGGCATTTCTTTATGATCCGTTCTGTCCGTAGACGGAACAACCAACAGCTTTTCTTTTTCGTTTGACACACCCAAAAGGTGGAACACTTTGTTTCTCTGCTGACAAAAGCAAGCTAGGTTTCTCTTTTGGCCTTCGGCTAATACTCCATCTCTGTTAGCCAACTGTTGTAAGAAAAGGAGGTCGGAAAAATTGAAAGTGTCTTCAAGAGTATGATGTCGAAAGGGCTCTTTTTCTTGAAGGACAAAACTTGCACGGGTATCCAAGCAGCAGAGGAAAAGATCTGAATCAAATGCAGAAAATACCCCCCACATACAATTATCTCTACTACCTCGAGAACGAGCAGTATGACAAGCTCCTACAAGAAAGCATTACGAGGCACTACATTCTAGCCAGTGAAAATGTGTACAAGGTCATCAACAGTGAAACAGGATCAATCACCAAATAACTCGAAATCTCCGGCAGAATGAAAACTATAGCTACAACAGAAGCATTCATAACACTGAAGAATGATCAATTTATACGGAGAACTTCAACAGCAGACTGATCTACCAATACAAGAGAGCCTGCTAATGCTATACAATAGAATCTCCCAAAAGTGCTTTTAGTTTGCAAGTATAAAGAATCCTTGAAAACATCTCAGCAATAGTGTGATTGACCCAAAAAAACTTAAGCAGAGACTGTGGTTTGGCAGCCTTTAGACGTACTTCTGGTCTGGTAGAACAGCGGACAGGGCAACAGAAGTAAATATCATGGAATACTGTACTTGTTGAAAATGTTGATTTTCTTTTGTGATTTTGTATGTTTCGTACCCAGAAGCTACTTTCTATGGATGCTCCAGCAGCTACCATCATTGCCTTATAGGCAGTTCATAAGCGGTTGAATAAGTTCATTTTCTACTGTCCGATGTTCGGAAACGCTTGAAATTGGCTTTTTGCGTTCCTATTATAACGCTTCTTCAATTTATCCATCGTTGGTTCTGATTCTTTGAGTGGCTCTTCATACTGCAAAAAGTTTTTCCACCAATGGGGAAATTCATTTTACTGTCAATCCGTCGCACAATGATTGATACAAAACTAGAAATATCATTTGCTATCTCGAAATAAGCAGTAAATAATTAACAAAGAGCGAAAGTTTTCTTTGGATATTATAACATTTTTTAGAATTGGAGGACATCATGTTCAGATCGGTGTCCACAACTCCACCACTTTATTTCATGGTTTCATTTCTTCATTTCTACGTTCCTAACAATCACTTTCGAACAATTCTTCGCTTATTCGAGCACTTTTATTGGCTTGTATTATTTTACGACATCGGATTTCAAAACACCGTCAAAATTTGCCCTGCATTAATGCAAAAAATTACCCTGTGCAAAGAAGTATTAAATAGATCTTTCTGTGAATGATAGGAGAATCGAGAAAGATGCTGCCAAGGGTTTTTTAAAAGTTTAGGTATGTGACAGTTAGCAAAAGGTGCTAAAATTTTCATTCTCAATATACTACAATTACTGATAGGGGGTAAAAAAAGGAATAAAAAGGAAGAAACACTGAGATCATGCCGGGCGTTGTACTCGTAATTACTCCAAGCGCGCAATGCAACCTAGTAGTTGTTGTAATAACAAGAACATGTGACGTTGTGTTGACATTGGCTTGATGTGTACGAGTATGCAGCCTTGCGACGTCAAAAACCGACAAGTAAAAAAAGTCGATAATACTGGCAGATAAACTGGTAGTTTTTTTACTTGCAGAAAAACTCTCGCTGTTTGCATAGCGAAGACAGTGTTTTCCTTTGACCATGACAAGGCCGGCGAGACCGGGGGTAGGGCCGTAGCCCTTCCCCCACTTCTGCAAAGCTAAAGAAAAATTTTAGGCGAAAGTGAAAATAAATATAGTATATGATTC